CATGTTGTGCCTGATTCCGCCTATCGATGTTATTCCGGCTGGACAAAGAGTTTGTCCTCGATGTACTTCAGAGGGGTAGATGACTTGATCTTCACATGTTATGAATTGCAGATAGGCGACTAATGATGGGGCGACATAGCATCCGGCCTACTGGTTCGCGCACCCACGAAGGTGTATAGCATGTAGTTGTAGATAGAACTACCCGGGAGTCAGAGGGACCTGCCGCCAGCTAGGCGGACGAGTTGTGACATTTGAGTGTGTACTCTCTCGCGCCTTATATGTGTGTATGTGTGCGTATGTGTATGTGAGTAGCATGTCAGCGATGTAGAGTGTATGGCGATATGTATTCGCACGACATCCTTGATAAATAATTTCCAGAAGGACAAAGTATGTCCTTTGATGTTAAGCTATGCTGAAACGTGAGTACCAGACTAACCCGTTTGTAGTCAACTTCCATAAGAACGTCAGCTGAACAAAGCAAATCATGGTGACGTTTTTGCTAGAAAATGATACTCACACCCTGTAATTTTGCATGTTTATAGTGCTGCTCAAAAAATACATGTTCACCATTATAATGAGCCCATCATCAGAAGGAGATTAACATCGACTTTCACCAATCAGCCCTTCTGAAAAACAGCTGACGTAATGTTGAAATTTCACAACTGCACCTTTCTCAATACTCCTCGAACCTCTTCACCTTTCTAAAATTTCACCTGAGATTACCAGATGGGTCGTAAGCTTCTAATCACCCAAATAGCCAAACTATTGACCTGCTTCAAAATTTCTCACGCAATTTGGATCTATGTTCTTAATTTTCAAACTAATTCGCATCTAACTTTTTGATCCTAGTCCGAATTAATCCATCAATTGAGATCACAACATGAGAAGATCAAGTCTCGTTGCTTGGTTCCCATGTCAACACTTGTCTTAACACACTACCCAATCGAGTGAACACAGGGGAGTGCTAGAATTTGTGATGTTTTCGTGACTTCTCCCAAAAATTGTACTGATTTTGCCATCCAAGCTAACTCTTAACGAGCTGGTAAGACCTGTTCCGACATTTGAATAAACTTTAACTAATACTGCCTCAATTACCGTTTTGAACCCGGAAATTTGTATCTTTTACCGTTCACGACTACGCTGGTGTCTCAATCCACCTGAACATGAGTTCACAATACTGAGATAAAACATGACATCTCCGCATCTTACAAAATTCTAAGTATGCCACGATCAAATCGCTTAGTCTATCAAGCTTTTATGTGTAACGCAATTCCATAAAATGTTTGTATGTAACTTCAAAAAGCTTCAAACCCTCAATCGCAAATTAGAACGAACATCTAATCCAAATAAAACTATAAATGAAATCAAGGTCAAACGACTAATCCCAGAACTCCAATAACTTTTGCACTCCATTTCGGATCAAACACGCCGACTGAACTTCACATCCTTTTCAAACTTTGTAGAATTCGGACCACGTGTAGAAAGCTCTTCACGACATCAAAACCTGACGAGAAAAGAATCAAATCTTCCAAAACAATATAAGCTTTAAAACGAATCTTGAAGAATTCTGCTACTCAAAATCTCAAATCCGTTGAGTTCTTTGAGTGAAATAAACGTGGTTTTTCTCACTAAAAACGCGTCAGTCTTAACTACCCCACTGGCAGCAAAACCGTCACAAACATAAGTTGAGCCCAACCCACTCTGAAGAGACTCTAGTTCGAGGCTTACTGGCAATCGCACAACTCCCAACGCTAGCAGGCTCGACTCGAAGAATGTCAATTCTTCGAGTCTCCTTTGACCCTAATTCAGAACGACATTGAATGTGATTCAAGGTCGGTCACATTCGAGGAACGACAATGATGGGAAACATGTTGGATCCAAAGGAATATCCAAGCCTAGGGGTAAGACACTTGAGGGGAAGAGGCTAGTTTGTTGGCAATGTGGCAAGAGTGACCACATAAAAAAGGACTGCTAGGTGAATAAGGTCAAAGGCGTGAATCACCCTCCGTTGATGAATGTGGCAGAACATTTTGAAGCTGAGTAGGATGACTTGTTGGAGGATGGTATATGATGTTAGAGGTATGCCCTATGCAATTCACGAAAGGTTGTTGGTGACATATGGATTCTTGGTAGTGTTTGTTCTTATCACATATGTTACATTAGAGAGTTTTTCTTCATTTTTTCATGATCACACGGATCAGTTCTTTTGGAGAATGATCAACTTTGTAGGATTGAAGGTGTTGAATCTGTGAAGATCCGCATGTTTGATGGGGTCAAATGTACACTGACCCAAGTTAGGTTTATTCATGACATGAAGAGAAATTTAATCTCTCTTGGTATACTAGACTCATACGGCCTAAAGTGAATTTCTAAAAAAGACATGTTAGACATTAGATCACGTGATAAAATAGTACTTCGAGTACACAAGCACAATAATCTATAGATGCTAGAGGGCAATACCATCTATGGAGTAGTTCATTTCACTGGATCTCAACTTGAGATTTCTCATGTATGGCATTAAAGACTATGACACATGAGTGACAGGTACATGTCTCTCATTGACAAGAGAAAGATGCTACCTGATTTGGGTAAAGTTGACTTGACGTTTTGCAAACATTGTATCATGGGTAAGCTGCACAAGCGATACTTTGGTGTTGGAACTCATAGTTCCAAGGAGTTACTTGAATATATACATAGTGAAGTGTGGGGACACTCTCTTATTGTCTCACTCTTTGGAAAGTTCTACTATGTATAATTTGTTGATGATTACTGAAGATATGTGTGGGTTTATTTTCTCACACACAAGTCTGAGGTGTTTCCAACTTTCAAAAGTTGGCGAGCCCAAGTTGAAACTCAGACTGGACACAAGGTGAGATATTTGCGTACCAATAATGGTCGGAAGTATATATTTGAGGATTTTCAGAGTTATTGCAAAGAGGAGGGGAATACTCGCCATCTCATCACGGTTTATACTTTGCAACAAAATGCTGTCTCTGAGAAACTCAATCGAACAATGTTGGAGTAAGTAGGGAGTATGTTGAGCCAATCAGGTTTACCATGTGAATTTTCGGCTGAAGTTGCAAACTCCGTAGTTTATTTGGTAAGTCTTTCTCCTTCTAGTGCAAACAATTTCTTGACATTGTTTGAATTGAGTCACAAACGTATGGTTGATAAAAGTCGTTTGAGAATTTTTGCTTGCACTGCTTATACTCTCATACCTAAACAGAATAGGACTAAGCTAGATCCTACATCCAAGAAGTGCCGTTTTCTTGGTTATGCTAGTGGTGTGAAAGATTACAGGTTTTAATGATGTCCGGAATATGACAAGCCGAGGAAGTGGAATAGTGACTTGTGTTTCTACTTGAGTTGAACAAAAAGATTGCTACTTGATTTGATTCTGATATGGTGTACACCAATTTGATCTTGTTGTTCAAGCTTTTATTTTTGTATACCTCAACAAAAAATTTTATTTGACATTAACTACCACCATCAGATATTTGCGTTGAGAATAAAACTTGATCAACAAAATGAAATCTAAAAGCTCAAAGGTCGCAATGACTCGCTGATTATCATTGGAATACATATTGCCTTGGTTTTCAACTCATTATTGCCATATTGTTGAATATATAAACCAAAAAAATTTTGATTACAGACCGATAGTCATAAGATGGAATGCTTTATTTTCACTAACTCAATTCTTACAGATATTGACATTCAGTTCAAAATCTTGTAGTATTCTACATTACTAATAACACAGTGGAAAACCATTTTTTCTAGATTCATTTACTTTTTCGGTACGTTACAATATTGCAAGGTCTACTTTTCAAATCAGAAATCTAGGAACAAAATCAAAATATCTATTGATGTAACCATTTTAAGAGGATTGGCAAGACCGTTGTTGCACTTTGTTTGAGGGTGTGCATTGTTTATTGCAATGTCATTTGATAGCTTATCTAAAGTTGAAAGAATGTTGTGGTTTGTTTCCTTAGAAATATAGTCATTAGTTTAGCAGCTGTATTACATGCAATCAAGCCAGAAAGTGATGATAATAGTGCACCGGCAGCGTGTTTATTTCCATGTCTTCCTTTGCAAGTTTGTGATCATTTTTGCATCAAGCTTTGTGGATCTCATCATTAGATTTTGATCTTGGCTTGAAAAGAAGTTCAACAATAAGTACATTGATACCCTAGAACGAGATCAAAAAGAATTGCTGAACGCTTAGCAAAGAGAATATGTACTCCGCGAAATAGTTGAATAATTGCCGAAATTTGTTGATTTGCATGAAGCATGGAGTACTTTTGAACCTCAAATCTCAAAAGTTTGTAGGTTCGCTTGCTGGAGGATTTGCTAGTGTTTATCCTTGTAATACGCGTGTGGAGAGTGATTTTTCCGTGGTTTGCTAGGAGAAAGATGAGTGCATATCGTCCTTAATTGATCTCTCACTCGAATGCATCATGCATTGTAAGCAATTCAAAGAAATTCAAGCAATTTAAAACTATGATCGTATTTGTCATAAATAAAAGTTGGTTGATGCCATTTACTGATTTATGAAAGATTTGGCAAATGCCTGGTGAGAGGAGAAGGCTGTATGCAAAAGAGAACGGTGAGAAAGAAGAATGATGAAAACAGAGTTCAATCGAGATTGTAATGATATGGAAGGTACTCCAGTCCACAACATACATCCCTGGCCAAAAAATGCACATGAAATTAGTTATATTAGTTATCTATTAATAGAACAACAAGCTTAAAGAGGCCAAAAAGTAAATATTCAGGTATGTGGCAGCGGTGGGAGAGCACGGGTTATTCCCGGGGGAACCTCGACAAGACCTGGTAGCACCACACCGACCCCTAGCTCGACGGAGTGAGGGATATACCACGGAGCGAACGTACGTAGTATGGGCGCGGAGAAAAAGATCTGTTCGGGGGCACCACGTGGGGCAGCGGGGGCCGTCGCATCGAGGCGGGGAGATTCAGAACAGCGAGTTTGCGACGGGACAGCGCCGCGATTGGGCCATTTGCCAGCGCCACTTTGCAGGCGGGCCCACCGTCCAGCAGCGCCGCGGACCGACTCCGATCGACTCCCGGCCCATTGCTCGCATGCCACTGCTCTCAAGAGGAAGGGACTCCGGCCCCTGTTCTTGCCCGTGCACGAAGATTTGGAACAGTCGACCCCGTTCATCGCTCCAGCGCTTGCTCCGGAATCTCGCCGCGCGGAGGAGCCATGGCGATTAGCGCAGCAGCCGCGAGTGTCCGCTGCTCAGCTGTGCCCGTGGCAGCGCCCACCGGATGCAGGTTTGGCCCATGGATCTTGCGCCGTCGTTCGTTGCGGGTCCGGCGGTGCACCACGCCGTGGTTTGCATGGGCAATTGTTCTCGTTCGTGGATTTCTCCGTTTGGATTTTGCATTGGCGCTGCTCGCTTTTGTTTCTGGATCTCTGCAGTTTCATGTTGTCTGTCCTCTGACCCGCGCCCGCGGTGCTCAATGGGCGGGTGTCCCAGGAGATTCGATGGACGCTCCGGAAAGCTAGCGTCTGTGAGATTCTGTGGAGGAGTGTCCGCTGCGCAATCCTTGAGGGCGATGGCTGCCCTGGATTCTCGATCGGAGAGCCTGCAGTCTCAAAAGATGCAGGTGGATTTAGCTGTCCCTTTTCTGAATCGTTCCTTCACATTTTGCATCTTCCGAGTCTGGGTTGAATTCTCTGGACTGTTCAGTGATTATATGAAACTGACCCCTTTTTTTCAATTCTGGATTCGCCATGCACACTGTGGCCGATACCGAACGAATCCGTCTCGCGGTGCCAGACGTTTTGTAGAAGACATTTCCTGGCTCGGAAGGATATGTGGCCCTAACGCCAGCTAAACATTTGAACTTTGCATGGTAGGTAATGGCAAATGCCGGTAAAACCGATGAGACTGAAGTCGAGAAGAAGACCGAAAACTACACCGATACCATGCAGCAAGCCATGGGAACAGGTACATCCGAGCACTCTCTGTCCTTCGTACTATGAAACCTCAAAGTTATCAGTCTCGCTGAAAGAGCTAAATATGGAGTTTTCCATTCTGATTGCGTGTGGTTGATGACACATTTTCGGTACATTATAATATATTAAGCTGAAGAGACTGTACCGTGAAACAAGGCGAGGAGGGTGTGATTAGAGCATCAGTTGCGAACTTTGTTTGAGAAAGTGCATGATTTTATCAACTAAGTTTGTGCTTTCGTGAACAGGTCTCACTTACAGACATGAACTCGGCATGAATTATGCCCACGTACTTCCAGACTTAATTGTGGGATCCTGCCTTCAAGTAGGTGACCCTGCTTCTATTTGTATCTTGTGAAGTCTCTTAGTTTTCGCATGATATACGTTTATGTTCTTAGTTCACGTCCATGCTTTACTGCTCTTCCAACTCGCAATCAGTTCATCCAGTATCTGGACTAATGTTTCGAGGTTGTTGTAACGAATGCGAAGACTCCTGCTGATGTGGACCGACTGAAGGAAGCAGGAGTCGGTACAATCTTTTGTCTACAACAAGATCCCGATTTGGCGTATCCTTTGAAATCACTGCTAACTACGTTGAGAATTACCACGTCACAATCAGTCGCAGTTACTGCTGTACAAATAAGCATGTTGATTTTTTTGGTAGTACTCTGTCGCCATTCACTTGAATCTTTATAGCGGCGGTTTCTAGCTGCAGATAGTAACTCACTTGACTGGGCAAGGTATTGAAGTGTTGTCTCGAAGGAGTTGTCCAATGCCGCATTTTTAAAAAAACTTTCTTCTTTCAGGTTTATTAGTGACATTTCTGCAGGAATGATAGCCAGTCGGTGCTGAACAACAGATATACGGTGCTAGCTTTATATTGCAGAAACCTCAGTCACTAGCCATCCGAATCAGAACCTTTGGGAGTAATGACTTTTTCATTTTCAATTACGTTTTAGATATACGTAATTGAATGTCTTTCTATCTACTTTTAAAGGGGTACGATTTGATGAATAATTGATTGTACCCCGCTTAAGTCGTAGAGAACTGCCTCTGTTCAGCAATGTTTGACACCTGTTACATTTGAACAAGGCCGAGTAGACAATATTTTCGAAGGAAGCTTTGACTTGCATAGGTGGCTATCGTGTGGAGAACACCACGTTGGTCGCACCTTCCTCTACCTTGCCTCGATGTAGGGTTCACAATTCTGGTTATTTTTCAATCTTCTTGGATTTTGAACCTATGAAAATCAACTTAACATATGTCAATGGTTCTTCTTCTTAACGATGAGGCCACAGGTATTTCTCAGTGGATATCGAGGCTATAATCAACCATGCGAAGGAGGTCGATGGGATTGAGCACATCAGGGCACAAATCCGGTAATCATTGATTACCTGCAAGCCGTAAGTTTGCTGGCTTCATCGTCACTGTTCTCAAAAGTGTATGTTCTGAAATTTTGAGACATCTTTCCAGAGACTTCGACCCTTATGATCTGCGTCAGCGATTACCCCAAGTTATAGCTACATTATACCAAGCGACAAAGAAAAATGAAGGAACGGCATACGTGCACTGTACTGCAGGGCTTGGAAGAGCTCCCGCCGTCGCGGTCCGTTCTGTCCCTCACCTTAACTTTCAACGGTTTTCAGTTCATTGTTTTTGTGTCATACCGTACAGCGTCTTCAAAAATATAAATTCTGAAGTTTAGCATAAGCTCTAGTTAGCTCACTACATGGAGTGAACAGTATGGACACACACTATGAATTGATATGATTCTTTAATCTGTTCACATGTAAGTATTGTTTCATCTACGCTGCATTGGGTTAATTTTCAACTTTGAGTTGTTTTGATTCGAACAACTGCGACGCACAAGTCGCTTTATAGGCCTGGAGCCAGCTGGCTTTGTCTTGTGCTGAATTTGTATCTACCTTGTTGAAATGTGATCGGTAGTTTCAATGACACCTTCTGATGGATGTCTATCGTATAACAGTTGACTTACATGTACTGGATCCGTGGATATGATCTGTTTGAAGCGAACGCTATGCTTCAGGTAAGAAATATTTTCTCACCTTCTCTCTTTAAAGAGATGATATATGTTTCAAATTATGACTCTTACACGAGGGTAGTCATAGTTACACAGCTGCTGTCTTGCATTCGATACGATTTTCATGCATCTTACTTTTGTCGAACTATAGTGTGGTGGTATGTGATGAGATCCGTCCCTTCCGCCTCTGATTTGGTTGTCAGACTGTTATACTCACTTTCCATTTTTTTCTGGACAAAAATGATGTAGAAAGTTCGCACTTGTCATCCGAAGTTGGACTCTATCAAGGCAGCTACAGCGGATCTGGTAAGTAACTTGGCTAAGGTGTAAAGCATAGATGTCCTTGGACTTTGTTGTTTTACCGGGAACTTTCTTCCGTAAAGTAGATTTGATGTGAATCATAATTTCCTCATGCTACAAGACTGGACAAGGGTAATAGAGTCTCTACTCTGCCGCGACCAGTGCTTAGTAAGGTAAGCTTTTTAAGCATTTTGAACATCTTGGGTCTCAACGCTGTGAGAGAGAGGGCGCTGCCCTTAACCAGAAGAGTAGGACTGTTACGAATTCTACTGGAACTAGGAAAGTTGAAAGGTTACTGTTCTGGTCCCTGAAATGCATGAGCTCCCGTCTACCGCCTGGAAGTTTCAGGTTATTCAGTAAGTCCGGAGTTACATGGAAAACCTGGCATGAATATTCTATTCCTGTTTCTTTAGGATTTGTATTAGCAAAGTTGTGATGTTCTGCTTTCGTCAACCTTCTCATCAATCCTAATGAAAGTTTGTTTGGTTCAGTTGACCGGTAATTCAAAGGAGAAGGTCAAATTGGCCTGGTACAGAGGAGCCGCTCAAAGTGTCGAAGTTGCCGGACTTGATGTCGGCTGGTATGAGGTAAGTCTATACATGTACATTTGTTGTTCTTATATATACAGGTCCGTCTTTGTATTTTTGTGAGTTATGGTGTGAGATCAACCAACAGCTTCTCAGGTTTTGAAGCACGTGCTTGCGAGGTACCATATTAGCGAGTTGCGTTCACCAAAAATCAAGAAGATGGACACTGGTACTTAGAACGAGATTTACCCGTAAGAATCTCCATTCCTTCACCACTTTTATTTGCTTAGGGTTCAGGTGTTTAGGGTCTAGGTGGTTCTGGTTATGATATACAAGGGTTTGTAAAAAGAGGATCATTTGAGAGGGTGCATGGTACATCATATTTCAGGGTTTTCTACATGGGATGCTGCTGCTGATTTTCTATGTTCAGTAGTTCTTGTTATATCCATGGAAACGGTTCTCGTGTAGGAGAGTCAGTAGGAGAGTCAACATGCGACGGAAAAAATGTTAGTATGTTAAAATTGTAACTTGTGGATCATATTCGGTACGTGATGGTCTTTTGTCCTTGTCTCCTGTTTTGAAGAGGCGTACTCCAGTCTTCTACTATTGTGTAGTATATTCCATGAATCTTTCCATGGATGGATTTTCTAGTAATGACATTGGATTTCATTGTGAAATGCGTTTTATCAAAAAGGTGGGAAAATACGAGTTCAAATACATCGTGGACGGTAACTGGTGTACAAACCCAGATGCATCATCAACTCAACCCAACAATGATGGACATGTAAACAACTTCATTGAGGTACTACTTTTTGTAATGCTAGATCTGATTATGTCATCGGTTTCCGATTAATAAAGTGAAACTACGGTCTATCTACTATTTTTAAATCAGTGTTCCTAATAATGTTTGTTCCGCCGTCGCAGGTCAAAGGGAACAAAGAAAGCTGGGACCTGCGTCAACGGATCATGGCAGGGGACTTCGTACTCACTGACGAACATCGCCAGATTATCAAAGCGAAGCTGGAGGCACTAGCGGGATGATATTTTGTAGTCTTAGAGTTCACAACGATAGTTTATCGTATCTTCTCGTCGGAGCCTAGAGCTGTCTGGTGAATGTCAATTGTACACCATATAGAATGTCTAGGTCTACATCCTCAAAAGCGTGGCCTAGAGACTCGAGATATTTGGCAGGTACTGTAGTTAGATAATGACGTGTAGAGATTCTCCAGTCTGTCAATAACTGTCATCTGTATTATCATCCAGCCATTTAAAAACTACTGTACATTGAGAGATAGGGGGGGGGAGAGAGAGAGAGAGAGAGAGAGAGATAACGAGCAGCGCACGTTTTGTGATGCTCTTTTCACACTTCTGCACCTAGGTGAAGGTTACGAAGATGTGCTGTGTAATATCTGATCGACTAGGGCAATCAAGCATCTAGCCGGGTATTCCTCACGTGGATTTTTGCGTGGTTATAATAAAATCAGCCGTTCGGAGCATGGACTGTTTATTATGCACACATGATAATAAACTCACATAATTGTCCTAGGTCTTTTTGATGTCAACAAAAAGACTAGCCAGTGAATACAACTGTCCCACTCATCTTTATACCTGATTAGAAATTTTCGGTGGAGGATCTTGCAACCCGTCCATTGAATTATTCACGCACGAATGCATCACATGTCGACCGACCTTTACTGAGATTCAGCGTCAGGTCATGCTTCTAGACTGACAACACAGTCGTGAACATTTTCGCAATACGACTGACGAACACAGTAAAGCGATTCACTCTCGCATCGTCACGGGGAGATAAAACACACAAACGACAGAGAATTCAGCTTTCTCTATATTCTCCCGAAAGCCGAGTAAGACCGTTGTCAGAAGTCGGATTCTATACGCTTGACAATATAACATACAGAATCGCTGGAGTGTCTTCTCCCAGAGAGGAACGTGCAAAAAAAAAACACTAAACTACTGTAAAATCTTCAGATAAAACGGAAGATTTTGTGGATTGTAAAATTTTTCGTCAAGTCTAAACTTCATTAGTGCTTCGATTTTCTTCCAGAGTTTTGATTAATGGTACCTAAACCCCTACTTGTAAACAGTTGAACATCCAAATTGCATTGCGTCTAGGTGTGGTCCGTGATGATACCATTGAAGGTTATGATAATGAGATATAAAAGAATTGCAAGGTTTTTCTTTCATTTCTTCCAATATGGTGATTTTTGTCTGTGACACAAAAATTTACAAATTAACAGTGTCTAAATCTTAAATGGCTATTGGTCCAAAGTATATTCAATTATGTTCAAAGACAATTCCATATATATATATATATATATATATATATCACTAAATACTAGGTAATTAAGATGTATATTACTAATAAATTAATATTGATAAAGAGCGCATTAGGTTACAATAATCCTAAAATCTAACAAGAGTTTCAACATATATGATTCTCTATGTTAAAGATATAGGGTCATATACAACGTTTAATAACGAGATATTTTTCGTTTGGCAGCATATAATCTTAGTTAAAAGTTAACATTGGTTAGAATATGAACTGATATGTATCTTCAAAAATTCCAAAAATTGAAATCAATTATAATTTAAGTAATGAATGCATCTTAATATCAGTTTACAAGATTTGAGAATATACTGCATTAAACTATTTCTAATTAATGACAAAAAATTCTTCATTGTATATTCATCTTATGAGATCCATGTTGTGATGCTTCTTAAGTAAGGGCTAATAGTTCTTGTCTTAAGATTCAATTTTCTTCTAACTTAACTTGAATACACGTACTTGCTTGATACTATGAGCAAGTACGTGTCAAATATTCTGCATTTGAACACAGTAATCTAACTAGATTACGATGGATAAAGTGAAGGATAACCAAGGGCGTTCATAGCTCAGGTTAGGATAATAAAATACAGTGAGGTAAAGCTAAAGGCTAACATACAAACGAATAATCATAATGAGACATGTAATTTCAACAAAGAAGAAAACTCCAAAAGTGGATGGTCGACATCATCCGCAGGTTAAGTTCAACTTATGGTAAAGACCAGTTCCGAACTTACTCTGAGCTGGGCCGCACATGAGAGTCCGTGTGCTCTGTAGGGGAAGTTCTACATTTGTGCGTTGACCACAGCACACGCTCGAAGTATACTGGAACCAGGAAAAAAAACGACTTACTAAACTTGGAGGTAATCTCGTACTCTTTGCAATCGTTTTTTACCTTCAAACTTTCAGTTCGTTGACCTTACTTTATTCCACTCCACCGTGAACCATCTACTACTTGCACACGAACCCACGAAATCGAGGACGGGAGAGATATCCCAGTGATATTTTCTTCAACTCTATCCATCCAAATTCAACTGCCGGATCATGCCGTACATAGGAAGCGATGTCACACCATACAAGCAGCATACGCTATACACTTTTGCTTAATGCACGATTGGTTCCACTGCAGGAATGGTCGTGAGAATCGCTAGATGCAATTGGTGTGCAATTGGTGGACAACGCACACTGTGTATGGATCTGTTAAAAACGAGTCAGTGCCTGTCAGCAATTATGTCAGCAATTAAGCGAAACTCTCAACAAGCCACAGCTGTGGGTCTCAAGTATCGTGTATTCTTGTACGTATGATACTTAGTACACTACGCAGTAGACTCTCCTTCCTTCTTGTATCGTTCCACGAACATCAAATTAGTGAAGCACTCGTGACAGTACTTACGAGATTGCTCTGTTGATGGACCACGACGTACCTCAAGCACTTTTGTATTGATATGAACTGCCCACTATGACAGGGTACGTGTAGTATCTGACATAAGACACCTACAGCATAGTTTGAAGCCCGAAAAATGATCCACAGCATTACACGATTGTACTACGTTGAGCGTCGTGTACCTTGCGCCTAAGAAGATTCTTGTAGACAAGGATAGGTAAATTACTTATTTCTGGCATCTCACGTTTATTCAGGATATAGTGGTACAATATATGCCCTTGGGCCTGCAAAAAGTTTGTCCAAGCCCGAGCAAAAAATTCAGGAGACTGCATAAAACAGCACGCTGCCTTCTCTACTTGTGTGGAGCGTACTTCCTGTAAGTAATGATTCCACAAACAAGGCACAAACTCCCAGAGATTCGACATCGGCGCATGTGGTGACATCATCGATGTCGTAGGAAACAGCAGAATCGAAGCTTCGCGCAGGAGATTACAAACAGTCATTGCAGAAAATTGGAACACTTTCCAAGTTCACCCAACTGGGAGACCCAATGTCGCTGTAGAACGACAGCAAACTGCGGAGGAGCTGCTGGGCTTGCAGTCAGTAAGCTCAGGGTAACTCTATCCACCACACTGCGCACTGCGCACTGCACGCCCTTCTGCCCAATTGATTGCAGCAGTGCAAGAGAAGGGAAGCTTCCTCGAAGCCTACTCCAATAATTGAACGTGTACGGAGTACTATGTCTGATGACATTGTAGTTGTACACAGGCGGCGTTTATAATCCAGAACATACTCCACTCGTTCATACAATAGCCAACACCAATAATTTATGCTCCTTTCTACGACGTCGAACAAGACAGGGACAAGGCACACGCATCGCATGAGAACCCAGGTGCAAATTTTATGCAAGTTCCAGCCCATCGTGATTATATCGAGAACGTAAATGACTCAATGCAAGATGTGTTTGATGGCAACATGCGGTGGATGACTGGCCATAATCAAGAAGAAAATCCCCTTTACAAAATTGGATTATTTACAATTTGCAGTGTCATTGTGACGCAAATTTTCGGTCTTAAGCAAAAGCCAGCTACTCGGTGTCGTGGGCAACGGCGCCAATCCTGGCTGAGCTGACAACTTCATTTATGAGAAGAATTCCTACCTACGAAGAAGCTAGGCAGTACTCTTATGTCTAATGTAATCACGGTAGATCGTCAGCTAGTAGAAAATGGCCTTGCCTTGCAGAGACCGAGTCTTGGCGAGAAGAGAGTGGTAACAGCCGAAGTAAAATAAGAATGTGGGAAAATCGATACTGCTTTCCTCGCCTAGCTCTCTACTATCTTCATTCCATGTCCCAAAACCTCAAGAAAGCCTGGATAAAGAACATAGACCCGCACACCAAGCGGCCTTTCAAGTGTGCAAGTAATTCGCTGCCATCATGAGCTCAAGAGTAATTTCTGGTTCGATGTGAAACTCAGTCTCCTTGCCACTGCCAGCCCATAACATGCAGACAGATTCTTTCATCAGTTTGCTGTAACGAAGAGCGAAGCTTTATTTTGGTAATCACAATCAGACATCTCGAAGAGATAAGCAAAAGGTGTGAGAAAAGTCTGCTAGTGCACACAATTAAACTCCTCACATGACAAGTTTGATTATAGCTGAGAGTACCTGGCAAACTGCAGAGACCAGTAGAAGTACTGGCACACTTTCTCGAGAATTGGGGTGCTAATTTCGGGAAACCTCACCTCTCCCAGTTCGGTCTCAGTGAAGCTTCCTGTAGTCACAAACAGACATCAATATAAACTTCTGCAACCGAAATCTACTCTTCCCAAAAATCCCACCAACTTTTCGCACTTTCGAGCAGCGCGAACGATAAGAAATCAGGCTCTCGTACTTCATAATCGGTCCACTACATGACGACACCTCCTTGGACAACCACCAAATTTCCGTACCAAATCATTGACCTGAGCTTCGCGAAGCTCATACCATGGGAGAAGGAGATATCCTTATACCAAACGACTATATAACAAACAATTCCATCAAACTGGACTCAAAGGCCGACCATCGACATGCAGTAGTGCTCAAACAGCAATTTCGAAAATGAGCGCTCAACATGTCCATGCCTATACTTGAATACCCTTCGTCACACCCTCAGTGTAAGTTCATCAGGTAGAAAGCCAGTAACGCGATAGCTCAGTTTTGGTTACTATGGCCTCCACCGGGGTGGAAATTCAAGGAAATGTACCCCAACCGCTAAGGAAGGCAAACAAGTAACAAGATTGGAAACTGCTTTACAGAAATCAATAATCATTCTCTTCTCTTGAGATCCGTCTCAATCTGAATGTATTGTATGCTTCAGGCCGAGTGGCAACTCGGCCACTTGGCGTGAAGCACAGTCATTGTTAAAAATCCTGACTGATTTCTTGTGTCCATTTTCCGAGTGACAATAAAAAGGAGCGGCCCCGAAATAAGGTGCAAAATGGCATATTTAATACGCTTAGAACAACACAACAGCCTCAGTCCCATTGCCAGCCCATCAACACATAGAAATAGTCGAAGAAAGCAACACAAACCCGAGGACGTCAGCATGTTCTTGAGAGTATTTGAGACGAGAGCAGCCTTCCGGTCGATGACAAATTCAAAGCCTTCCGCACTAATTAGCTTGACAGTATCCTCCTTCCTCATCTTGACGTGCTTCCCTCTCAATTCCAGCACCCAACTTTCAAATTCCCGTCAACAAACCAATCTATACGTCGCCCTCAGACCATCCACCCACACCCACACGCCGCCTCTCTACGATACAAAAGGTGCGCCGAGGCAAGAACTCGTCGCGGCTCAAGATAAGGCCGAAATCACACAGCCCGAAGAAAGAACGAACCACCGCAAGGCCAGCCAACGGACGAGCGATTGGAAAAAAAAGACGAAGGAACCAACGCAAGACGCAAGCGAGGCGACGGGTTCGATCGGAGAAGTGGAGCGAGAGAATGCGTCACTGGATAAGAAGAAGGAGAAGGCGCACACGCACGAGCACGAGCACGAGCGCGAGGCGAGAGACGGGAAGGGAAGGCGAAGGCAAAGGAACAAGAGACTTTCAGTTTCCCATCGCTCGTCGTTGTTTTATTACCCTAATTGCAGGAGCTTTGTCGCCATAACCACACCACGCCACGCGCGTAACGCAGTTCATGCTCTCAGCAGGCATGTTCCTCGCTGCGCTCTACGTGGTAGATGTCCAGGAGAAATTTAGGGCCACGATCGTCACACACCGGACGAATCGATGACAGCGGGAGTTCGATACGTAGACTAGACGGGACGGGACAGGACGGGCTGACCGCGTCGCCTTTCCGTCTTCCATGACCAACTAGTCTAACTACGAGCGTGCTTGTAATGCCAATTAAACCAGGTAACCCGGGCCCCACCATACAGAAGTACGCAGTAGGAATTCACCCCACAGTAACTGCGGTAGAAGCCTTCCACCGCGCCGCAGGTGGCCATGGAACCTTGTTGCAGTTCTCAAAAAGGCTTCGCTGACGTGCACCCTTGGACTCCGGACTCGGTCCAAGACAAATTCGCTACAGGGCTCGAGTATACGCTGCGTATGTGAGTGATGTTTGTCTTCTAGCTAGAAGTTGGTTCTCGCCTTTACTCTAGCATTCTTTGACTTCAGGTTCTCGTCCGGATTCCTGCTGCACGATCTTCGAACCCAGTGGAGCCCTGTAAGACTGCCAAAGCATGGGAAGCCCCCATTCTATATTTCCCACGCCCCCGGGAAGCCCGACTACGAGTTGGTTTTACAATGATTAAAAGGGATCGATCGACATTTCATTCATTTTGTCCGTAGAGCGAGAAAGCTTTTCCTTTAGCCTCGCTATCTTATAACTTCCAGAAGTTTGTAAAGTAGAATAAAATGCCACCAAGATACTTCACTCTGCTAGAATGTTTTGCAAGTTTTGTTGGTTTTCTGGCTCTAATCTCTACGTAATTTTGGACTCTGTGATAATACTAAAAAGCAAAAGGATGAGTAATCGTCTTGAAAACACTGATAGAGAGAGGTAGATGGACTCGAAACACCTATTTTGAAATCTATCAATACATGCATGCCTGTTCCTTCTGAAGCTTCTTTATTCCTATCGAATGAGTTTGGTGTCCATGATTCTATGATGCTATTGACGTAACCAATTTGATAGTCTTACTCAAAAGTTACATCGTCCCCCTATTCTTGATAAATTCCATCTAATCTCTCATCAAGTAATTTTGCTCATTATTTTTCATTATCTTACGATACAATTGATTTCTATTGAAGCATATATCAATTTTTCAAAATCATCTTCCTAACTACAATCAAACTGCTCAATATATGAATATTACAATATTACTCCATGGTGTCTTAATTGATCCAAAGCCTTGATCCTCGTCAATAAGGAGATATTCATTTATGACAAATACATTATTTTGAAATAAATATAGGGAATTTTATTACTTGAATTCTACCCAATTATCAAATAGAAAATATTTTTATATAAAAATTGCTTGCAAAATTGAAGAATAAGTCAAAGAAACAAGATAATTCCATCAATTTTTAAACTGTTGGTAGTTTTGGGCTAAAAAGTGTATACTCGATAGTACTTTAATTGAAAACATCAATCTGGATTATTGTCTTTAGCAGCGAAAGAAGGACTTTGTGGGAGTTGAGGTTTGAATATTTGCTATGCACCAACAAACTGAACTTTTAGTGTTTCCGTACTTTGTGACTTATTTACCTTTTACAGTAAAATCAAAGATTGCTTTAGATTTTGGTTTAGGCGACCTTCCTTTACTGGTTGTCAAGCACAACATCATCATTAGCAAGAATGTGATATTACTCCTAGAATAGAGACAAGTCATCTCCTCACTGTAATATCAGTAGCCGCCACTTGATAACTCTGTGAATGCTCTTCTTCTTAAAGACTGAGTATTGGATCGAACCTAAAGAAACTATCAACATGATATTCTTGCTCATCAACCCGTTATCACAAAATAAACTTCAATCTGTGTCCTATAAACACAAAGAAATATTTCCTTTGTTTTAATTCATTGTTAGGTCCTTAGGATTTCCGGCAGATTATAGCAACAGAGGAGCATGTCACAATCATGACTTTTGCAAAAATTTTGATGTTTTCAAATCTAGAAGAACAGTTCTTACATTCTTATAACCACATCTTCTTCACAACCTACAGCAAATTGAAAGGATTTACGCTCCGGTGTGTGATCACAGCGAGAGCTAAATGTTTGCATCTGATAGAAATATAATGAAATGAAAAGATGCGAAGTTATGCAAGCAACGCCCAAATCTTCATCAATAGAAAACAAACTGTATGTAGAAATCCTAGAATGGAGGAGGGAGCCACAATATACTAAGTGACACAATACGATGTTACTTACTCTCGCAAGTGACATAGTACAGGAAAACAAGAGAATGATCCTGAAGAAGAGGAAAAATCTAGAGGTAAGAATTTCGTTTTCGTCCTTACATGGATAAAGGTAGGATTGAGTAAAATTTGACAGCACTGTGTGCATCTGGGTACTGAGTCGCTCTTAAAAGCTAGTGATCGCATGTTGGAACAATAGCCCCTTCGAAAGCTTCTAATTTGTTAGGTGATCTTGAAACAGAACTTGCTAACTAATTCGACCAATTTGTCACTCCAGTGACTGCACCGGTTAGCAGTGATGACAATAAATCGAGCCGTCTACAGCATCGCCAAGAAAGAGGAATGCAGTACACAGCAAGGAACGAGTTACGTACTTCTCTTTTCCAGCAGTTTTGAAACTCCAACTGTGGGCCCAGAATTTTCTGCAGCTTAGCTTCCATAGTCTGTTCAGGTCGCTGCAGTCAGCAGTGGACTGGCGTGCACACAGATCTTTCGTTTGTGATCATTAAGTGTCATCGTTCTAGTTGATTCCGATCTTATTCTTTCCATGTTACTTTCTGAACTCTGATGGTGGCGTGACGACACTTGACATGCGTCTTTATCGTACAGATTTCCAGTATTCTGTTACCAGGTGTTTAATATGTTGCCTTGAGGTTACTAACTTGAAGACAAAACACAAAAACATCTCATAGAAGTTTAAACTTACAATGGAGGAGCTAACTTCAATGTTCGAGGACCGAAACCTCACACAGATTACAAAGCGGAGTACCTTGATTTTAGGCCCGATTTTTACAAGTGAACAATGCCACAACTCGAACCAAATCAGTGAAAAAATAAAAACTGGGTTTGGAAATGCTTAGCAGTCCGTTCATGGAAATAACCAGCAAATGTGTCATACAGATTCAGAGACAACAGGCTAAGGCAGCCGAAAATTGCAAAGAAAAGATGTACGATGTGAGATTATAACGAGTGATAAGAGTATCCGGGCCATGGGCACAAACGGTGCACATCACTCGACCTCATCATCTTCAACGTGTGATTATACGGTTGACTGTTAACAAGAACGGTGCTCGACAACGTCGCACTCCCGAGCTGACACCAATAACTCGAATGGTGGGGATTCGGTGCCGATGTAAGTAAAAGACGAGTACGTTTTTTGTGACACAATTAATGAAAAGAGGTAATAAATCTAGTGAGAAAAGTCATCGAACTTTTCGACAAAAAACAAAAACAAAGACTCCTTCGAGAATTGTAAAGGGTTCACGTTTAGCATCGTAACACATTTGTGACATTCAAATCCTGCAGGTTCCAACATTTACTCGGACAAGAACATTGAGGGTACTCGTACGGGATGCCCATGAACATTGATGTTACCACACAAACGGCGCTTTGACTGCACACATACACAGTTTCAATAGGAATGTCATTTCAAGCGAAAAACTGCTTGAAGTGTCCCGAAGTCTACGCAGGCCGTGCGCCAAATTGCACATATAATGAACTTTTCTAACGCAATCCTTGATCGCCGTTTTAGTGAATAGACCCGCAAATCAGGCCCTCCATGGAAACCCAGATTGGACACGGCCAATCCTGCCTGCAAACATTCACATAGAAGTACTCGTAGGCACCTTCGGAATCGGAATGAACTACAGGTGTCGACCCTACTCATAAAAGTCTCACTCAATAAATTATGATTGCCCAAGTTTCACTTCAAGGGTTAACTTAAAAAATCGTTACTCCTCTGGCTTGTGTCCAAGGATCCAAGCAATGATGCTGGATTGAGCACCTTTGGTCACCGATTGTCACTAAGCCTAAACCACAATCAAGTTACAGTCTTGACCAATCTCACATGATGATTCGCAGCAGACCAAGCCCGACGGCAGTTACAGAGACAATTGTACCTGCACATATTCAGGATTATTGTCTGAAACATAAAGATGATATACTGATGTAGAAAACAGCGAAGGAGGAAATCTAGCACTCTTTTCCATGCGAACATGAACATAGAATGTTGGGGTGTAGAAAAAATTCAGCTTCACACGGACACATCGTGCTGACAATCGTACCTATACAGTACTTGATAATATCATACTTAGCAGCTTCAAGTTGTGTTTTCAACGTATGTATTTCCTGTAAGATTACGGCAGTAAGTACCTCTCGTCCTGGATGATTAGATAAAAGCTAAAGTAATGCACACTGCGCTTCGGCTAGAGAGTAGAATATAGAAAAATAAATACCCTATCGAGCTTATTCGTGAGATTTGAGGTCTCCGCGCTTTGAGTAGCAAGCTCATCCCGTATCCGCCTGCAAAAGAAAACACTAGATGATTATGGGTCATGTCAAAGTCGTCAAGAAATGAGCCTTATAAACCTCCTCAATAAAACTGCAGGTCACTATCACAGTTGTAGGACATGCCATATTATATATAACTTTGCTGATTATATTTGAGCCTCAAGATTTTCTATAATATCTTCCTTACTGTGAGTCTCCTTCTACTGGTGCTTTGAAACAGCCCGAGAGCTTAGCACTCTACCAACAATGAATGGAAGATAGATACCTTACCCCCTTTCCAGGTTCAAGTCTAAGCGGTGACCTGCTGTAACCTTGTCAACTTCATACCTGCAGTTCGAACATCCTAAAAGATCAGGCTACAATATCAGGCTTGGACAAATTTCTCCCTCTTGCCTTGGAAAATTCAGACTTGCATGGGGACAAACAGGATGTTTCAAGTGACCTTAATTCACTTCGCAGCTTATCAATATCAGTTCTGAGTCTCTCTGTTTCTCGTTGCAAGCTGGCAATGTGATGTTCCTGAAGAGTCCACCCAACAACAAAATTTTTAATCCAATATACAGGCTGGCGAGAATATTCACGAACAAGTTACTGGTGAATCAATCTGGATGCTCTAAACCACACCTTAAAATGTACAGATAGTCATTATTTTTTGTTCAACTATGAAATTAAACGGTACCTGCGGCCTGTCAAAACTATGTGACATAACGAGCACCAGAGGACTTAAAGGCTCGGGGTATTCAACTGATGGGTCGTATACCTGACTACTCTGCACTTCAGCTTTAAATTTAGACATCGCACCTTCCATCATCATTTCACTCTGATGCAACCGGTCACAGAACAAGTTAAATTGTTTATCAGAACAGGTGAAACTATGTCTCTGGAATTCTTCATGCAATAAGCATCACGAGATAAGAATCTAGCTGTTCCCACTTTGAGACTTATGTCTCAAAGTCGGAAGAGCTAGATTCTATACAGATGAAATACAACTATAGCGGGCCAGGATGATAAGCATATTCCAGCATCCAGTCGTATTTGAAGCGACGAAAGCAGTTCATGGTTTGTTACCAACTGCTGTATGGATCTGTCTTACGACATGTCTTGCCGGGGAGGTCGTTATAATACAAAGTTGACAATGAGCTAAACTTAACCTTTGGATAACTAACAACTGCATCGCTAGCTGCCTCAACAAATCCATGACATGCTCAAGGAGAAACTCCTCTCAAGCTCCAACCAAAGAACTTGAATCATCAATTCTCTAGAACCTATCTTCCATAGTGTTCAGAGGGCTAACATATGATGAACTGAATTGCCCGACTTACGCCTTTGGCCTTTTGCACGATATGATACACCAGCATATCCAACATGCTGCAGATTTATTGGCATGAATACAAGCACAGGGGACAGAACCTTCGTACTCTTTGCATCTCGGACTTCGAAGTGAATGTCTGGGCTACATTCTCCAAACTGTCGTTGAGCACTTCAGTAATTACAGCTGTTATAGCCTCTGCTTGTTTGGGTGTCAAGCCCTGGGATTCGAGTCTTCGCACCTTGGGTTCACCATATATCGATGGATTCAGAACTCTCCTGACTTTTTGAAAGAAGAAAATCTAATACGCAGACTTCGTACACTCAAACTTGGCATTGAGGAAGATAAGTGTGCAATTCAGCTCAAAACAAACCTTTGTAAAATCACAGGGCTATGAAAGCTTCATAATCAGTGAACGCACTGTCTATACTCCAATACAACATTACTTTCAAACAAGAAATGGAAAAGTATTTCCGAAACGCATTCACCAGCAAATTCAAACTCTCCAACCTATAAACCTCAAAGACGAAACATGTAACTACCAGCGCTAGGGTATCGACTAGAAAAGCCCTCTTGCTGTTGCTTGCAGTAACAAGCTGTGAAATATTGCGCATGTAGAATCCTCTCACGGCTCCATAATTCCACGCCTGCTGAGGCACCAGCAATCGCCGATCCTGCAATGCAGCCCAGTCATGCAAGACGGCTGTCGAAGGCACAGGAAGCCTCAACCTGCTGTCCATGTTGACCACATCAAGAGGAATTGCTCCAGCACGGATGGCAGTCGGCCATTGCAGCGCTTGCAGCTGGGATCCCTGATGTTGGACCGCTCTTCTGACAGCTGCTGCCATCTATATTTCCAGAACAGTCAAAATTGTACGTTCGATTTGTCGCTATACGAGAAGTAACCCAATTAAACAGAACAATTGCCCTAGTGACTGCTTTCCATTACGGGATCTCGATGAATGCAAGAGGGCGAACCAACCTCTAGCTTCTTCTGTGAGAGGAAAAATATATATGTATATAAAAAAAAGGATATGTTTAGGCTCAAAGTAAAAAATCTATTGTCGGAAATTGCGGCAGAACTGCAAATGTCGCAATAAGGAGAGACGAGAGCGGGCAGAGGGCAAAGGGCTGCTCCACGCAGCCCAGTGCTGATTGCATGAGGTTTCAAACGACGAACGAACCAAATCCGGCAACTCCTCTTCTAAGTCTCGTTCGGATCCACACCCTGAAAATTTCCAAATCTCACAAACGGACGCCCAGATTTCCCAACAATAGAAACGAAAAACACACTACCACAGCCTCTCGGGGATCCAAGAAATGCAGGGCACGATAGGGCAACCACGATGGCAGATAATACACGCGGCTTCGCGCGCCACCAAAACTGTCCAAATTGAGCAACAGAGTGCCAGAATTTCGATGGAGAAGCCAGAGATCGACTGGAACTGCAAATCCAAGCAACGACGGCCACGAAGTATGCTCAAGGGTCTGGGCTGTCCGAGTTCAGTTCGTTTCTTTCTGGAGTCTGGACTTCAGTGGAAAGGGTGCAACGAGCGTCGTGCCTGGCCGAGCTCACACACAGACCTTCGTCGCTAACCACGTTCACTTCCTTCGTTAGTTAGATTCCACAGTCATAGTCCATTCCAGTTCGCCAGTGCCACCAGCCACAACCAGCTCTCCTCTGCTTTCCATCTTTAGGCATTGTAATCATCAGCATCGAACTATCCACTCACCATTTTCTTAACTATAATAGACATCAAAATTTTAGATACGTAATCGTAGATCCAATAGTTAGGGTATCATATTTACAGATAATAACGGGTAATCGCATATAAATCGTCGTGATGTATCGACAATTGAAATGAGATTTAAACATAAAATAAAGTATTTTGATACGATGAATGAAATTTTGTGAAAATATATTCTTCACCAGACCAGAATTATTGATTGATGGATTGTTTCATTTTCTTTTATGAATTTGAGAATTATGTGAATGGTTAAGGATGAAATATGTTCATTGAAATTCTAATATTGCAATATGTCAATGATAATTAATGAACAATTAATACTGTAATTCTTGAATTTCAAACAAGAATTTTTTTTCATTTTTTTTTCTATTCTTCAATCTTTGAATGGAAAATATTTTAATGCAGAAGATGATGCAATCATGAGAAATTACGTAGAAATTTCAAAGAGTAAAAATGAATCAAAGCATATACACATTTTGTTAACAATTGTATACGAACCAAGCTACAAGGTTTTGTACATCTTGTTAGCGACGGGCTATACTTAAGTCTAGAGTTGATATTGAGTGTTTTTTTTGTAAATGAGAATTTTAAAAAAATATTCTACAAGAATAGGATAGATTAGAAATTTTCAATATCTGAAAAGAATGGTATTGTGATTTGATTTTGATGATTGGGTTAAAACCAGCAACGTTTTTAGCTACTGATTTTTGGCGATGATTTCTTTGCGGCCAGCAAAGAAAAGAAAGATGATTGCAATGTTGTTATTATCTTTGTAGATGCTAATTTTCAATTTCTAAATGCATTACCTTACCAGTTGAATGCGTAAATTCAATCGATTGTTTGATATAATATGTGTGTCCAAGGAGATATAAGAACAAATTCATAACCAATACTTTGATAATTTAACAATCAAGTCGGCATATTGTGATATCAATTATACCTCTTATTCATTAACTATCGTCCAATAATATTAGTATAAACTCAAATGTCATTGTATTTACAATATTGAGATTCTTACAAATCAGATAAGCGAAATCACATGAAACTGTAAAATCTTGTCAACCTATCGTGCAGCGTTTCTTTGTGATACTCAGGATCTTAAGCGAGAGAAAACCAAACTCTAAACTTATGAATACTGAAAAGAGTACATCAAGTCAAGTATACTAAATGTTTTCCTTTGTCAACATGGCAGATGGACAAGATAGATGAAACTTAAACGAACTAATTTTATCGACGTATATAAATTTAGCACCGTCACTTATGCTCAAGCTTACGAACTCTCTGGAACCTGAAATATCTACATACATGTAGAATGATAGTCATCATAATGTGTTTAGTTCCCGAATAAAACACAGGATCATGAGCCTGATGAATCTTAGCATAATAAAGTTGATTTTCAACCAATTGAATGCTATCAATATCATCACAACTACATGTATTGAGTTGGATGGTAAGCAAATCATATTGGATGTAAGATGATTAAGCATGCAGCTTTTGTTTGTGCAATGGTGGTCTTTTCTGCCTCTTCGGATGACAAAGCCACTACGTTGCTTCTTGTATAGCAAACAAAATTGCTAACCAACTAAACTTTGTTCTTCAATCAATTTCAAGTATACTGATTTTTTATATCATTGAAACTTTGAATTCAATTATCTATGCTGTATATTAGTTTATAAAAACACCTTGACACTTTGGTTAGCTTTTGTACTCAAAATGAGATGGAGGTTTGGAGAAGTCAAAAGTAATTCTTGTGGACACTAAATACAAACTTTCTTTTGTTTACAAAGGATTAGAGAAGCTTATCTAGTGTCTAGGAGTCTTAGGAAATTATTATTTCGGAGCTTAGTGTTTCCCGTTGTCTTATATGGAACACAAGTGTTGTAAGAAGATAGGTTGCCAACGTTTGGAGATGTTGCAAAAAATCTTCTTACAAGAAGAATTGGATATGAGTATCCAAACTTCATATGCTTTTCTTCTTGCGGAAATAGGTTCTCTACCTCTTGAGGTTGAAGCTCTCTTCTTGACTATCACTTACGTCAAAAGAGTAATATCTCTTGATGCTTCTCGATTTCCTCTTGAAGCTTTGTGTGTCACAAGTCCCAAGGGTTGGTTTGCATATGTGATGATTTGGTTTGATTTCCTCTTGAAGCTTTGTGTGTCACAAGTCCCGAGGGTTGGTTTGCATATGTGATGATTTGGTTTTTGAGGCGGAATGTGACGGAACTCGATTGGTTTTTGCAACTTATGGCCCTTCGCGAGAGTATTAAGGAAGAATTTCTCAACATTATTTGGAGCAAACGAGTCACTAAAATGGAGTTTTATGAATTTCATGTGAATCTTATGCTTATTGTGAACAAAGATAACTTGTGGCATAGATTTCTACATGTTTATGTTATATTATCACTAGGGATAGAACCATATCTCATAGGCTTGAAGTTGAGGATTTGTAGACTGAGAAATGATGGGAGAAATGTTGAGTATGAAGAACATGTATTTTTTATTTATACTAGATATATAGAGATTAGATGGGCTTATAAAGTTGTTGAGAATTTATATTCTTTGCTTCAACTTGAGACTTATGATTTAGGTTGTTACATTAGGAATGTTATTAGTTACCGTTCTAGTGCACTAGCTAGGGTGTTCCTTTGGTTTTCTCCTGGTTTAGAGTTTGGTTGTTTGTATTGTGTTTACTTTTTAACTTTTGGATACCGCGAGCTTGATCTATTTAACATTTATTGCCTTTGTGATCAATAACTTGTTTGATTTGAATCATATAGATACAATGAGATAATTATTTCATCTATCTTTGCTACCTTGTAGATCAAACAAAGTAAATAAACTTTTATACTTGTTTGTGAGCCCACTGCAATATGAATACGTCCAATCGCAGTTTCTAGTACAATCTCGAACTTTTTTTGAATGATGTGATTACTTCACCTTAAAAAATATTTAAATACACCTGTAAATCTCCATGACTTCACTTTTGATATTTCTCCATTCGTAAATTAGTTACTTTATGATACACATCATGTTTTACTCTTGTTTCTCTCCAACCTGCTGATTTCATACAAAACGAGTTATTGAATTTAAGCGTAAAATCCGACACGATATGCACCTGTTCTTATGTACTATGTACACTAGGAATTCCTTACTAGATACTGAAGGTATCACTTCAAGATGGGACGGAACTCGCTGACACGACAGGCACACCATGTTCATGACAGTTCTGTCCACCTGCTAGGCTATCTCACATTCCAATCACATCAGTAATGAGTACTTACGTAGGCAAGGAGTGTTGATTATCAGATGATCCGACGTGAGCCGTGATGTTGCAAAAAAATACTATATCCTTAATAGTCCACCAGTGTATAGTCTTCAAAATAATTATCGACAAGGGCCCTCGAGTTCCATATTGACACGTGGTTAGTGTGAATAACGTCTTGATAGGCTAAAAGATTAATGACATGGCAGGTGAGATTAGGCATTGCACCTAAAAGCGAGTTCCGGGACGTATAACTGTTGAACATTTGGTCCTCCAAGTACTCTGTACATGTTAATTTCGCTCGTTAGAATCAATTTGAGTTGAATTATAATGAATGCGGAGCCCACTAGTAGCCACTGTGACCGCCTCACTGTGTACTCTGCGAACTAATCGTGAGATCTAGTGTAACACACGTTAAATTCAGGCACTACGCCCTAGTCTAAGTAATGTCAAACACTTTTGGAATTCTGGGTGAGGGCGAGTTTAGCCCGAATGCAGGAATAAGTGGAAGTGAACTCCATTTATTCCAACCCTTCATATAAACCAATAGGCTGGACAACATTCCTGTTTATACTCTACTGCGAAGAGACCAGATTTGACAGAAACAAAAATCTGAGTCGTGCTCGGAAGCTATGCCACCATGAATAGGATCACCAAAAAGAGACGCCACCTCATGCAAAGACTAAGACAAACTGATGGCAACATTCGTAACTACGGTAAAATCACTTTCCTGTTCCGCTGGCGTTTGTGTCGGGTGTTATTAGCTTCCTGATTCCTAAAAACCGACAAAGAGAAGTAATTTGGCCATGAGTGGTCACATGTACTGGTCTTCGAATGTGGCTCGATAGGATGATACTTGCCTTCACATGGGCATATCTTTTCTTGCGTTATCTCCCAATCTAGGGGACAGTCGAGCATGCTCACCGAACCTTGAGGAAGCCGGAGCTTTGTCTCTTGAATAAGCAAACCATACGAGCCACTGCACTCCTCTCTTGAACTGTACATTATCTTCTACGCGTTGTGAGCTTAGAATCATGTTGGTGGCTGTATCTACCTACAACAAGTTTCTAATCCTGCTCTTGGGCACTTTTGCAGATACGAGTGATATGAAGAAATGATTGAACGTGAAGCTCTAGCTCATGAAAAATAACTGCACAATGTAGTGCGAAGGTGTATTTTCATCAAACTGGCACCCTTCGCTCTCGGAAACGGTCAAAAAACTGCGTTACAATAATAATACTGTTAGAGATAGAGTAAAGTTACAAAGAGTTCAGCAGCTTCAGCTTTAATCTACTACACCGCTGCATGTAGATAATTGAACCATAAAAGAAATTTCCAGATGCGTAACTTGTATGTAAAGAAATTGCTTACCGCTAGAAGAAAAGGAGTGTTGATCAACCAGCCCAGCACAGGTATCCTACCGAGAAAAACGACGACTGTGGGCCAAAAACCACTGCACAAGCCAGCAACCAATTGCAAGTTAGGAACATTCGTCGACAGCAGAGAATAAATGTCTTGCATACCAGTCTGAGGTTGGTATCAATAGTCCAAACAGGGAGAATATGCAAGAGGACAGACCTCTTTCCATGGAATAGTCACCAAGCTCATCAATCACTGATTGAGATAATCGAAGTCCCAGAAGCAACTATGCTGATAATAAAGGAGATGAACAAGAAAAAACAAGACAAAAGAAGAGGATGTGATGTGAACCTGAAAAGGACGATGAAGCCGTAGGCCTCGACTATCATCCCCAATATAGCCCATCCCAGAAGCACTAGACAAAAACCAACAAGGAAGGAAATAGAACCCTGCACAAATACAAGAATCATAGTATTCAGCATGAGTACATTCCAAGAAGCACTGGAGAAAAATCAATTCTCCCAAACCAGGCAGAAACAAATTTATAAGCAGAATAGGAACACTGATTCAGGTAATCAGCCCAGATATGCACCACTGGACTTGAATGCACTGCTTTGAAAATTAGATAAAAGGAATTTGTAGAGAAAAATCATCATCTGTTTGGGGATGGCTGGGTGCAAATAATGACCTTGTAGTTACGAGGTTTAAGAAAGAAAGAAATCGTTGATTTCCACCCGATTGTGAGGGTTACACCGGCTATGAAGAGTATCTGCAGTCAGTGATCATTGCGGAATGGGATCAACAACTTGAAATTGTCTGGAGGGCTTAAACCCGTGGCAAGAGCACAACATTATATGTGTACGTCGACAGAAAGGCTCAATTCCGCGACCACTGAAATGAGCAATTGAACAGAATCACACCACACTGCATACAGTGCATGTCAGCCGTTTATTCATGGAACTGCAGGAAACTCCAAACTTCACGTTCTTACATTTCCCATTGCAAGAAGACCTTTGTCGAAGAAGAAAATTATACCGAGAAATGAGAACAAAACACCAAAACCGGTGAGTCCGATCCCGATCTCTGCAGCCATTGCAAAGCATCATGAGAAATGCAAAATCTTCCAAATAAACAGAAAAGATATCGTGCACCAAAGCCCTAGCTCAGAATCAAACTTCGCAGTTTCAGTCATAAAACTAAGAATTCGTCCACAAATGAACGAAGGAAAAACCTAAGCCCATGCTGGAATCAAGAGGACCACGTACTCTTCCGATCGTTCATCTCCAACCCAACCATCGTAACCAATTCGATCGGTCTGTTCCAACTGCTCCACCTCCCACAATCCCGGCGACGGAAAACAACGCACCAACAATTGTGCTTCCGGACCACTATCGATCTTAATTCTCAGTGCCCTGCACACTCGTCGTACAAAAGCAAATCAATTCGCCTCTGGTTCAACAGATTCGCCAACCCCCAGTCCGTCAACTGCACCTCGCCCTCCGTCCCTATGCGTCGGACGACCCTCGCTCCCTCGCTACCTCTTCCTTCACTCCAACTCCAACCCAGTCAAAGCTGGCTGCCGCCTGGCATGCCCACCTTCCTCCCCTTCCCCGTCGATGCTCTGGGCTGGGTCGGGCCGACGAAAAGGCTACCTCGAGATGGCCACTCGAGTCTGTCTGCTTTCGACGATCACCGCCGTCCCAGCCCAGAGTCCCCACTTCTCTCCAGCTTCTGTCGTCGACGGCATTCTTTCGTCGTCTGTCCTCATCCATCTCTTCCTCCTCCACTTCGCAACCTTGTGCTACGCTCGTTTCAGGGAGGCACTACGTTTCGTATTCTTGCGCTGCATATCGTCGTGCTGAATGTTCGGCATGGTGCTATGCTTCTCCTCGGCGAATATATTACACTTGATATTTCTCTTCTCATATCTTGGCTTATCACCTCTTGGACTGAAGATCCATCGGTAAGTAAGAGATTAAACGTCATATACAGTAGATACATACATCCACGTATCTATCTGAAGACCTTGTATGTGGGGGGGAAAAATAGGCGACTTTTCCATGCAATGACATATCTGTATGATGCATTTGTCATATCATAAAGATAGATATAACATTTAGATTGATGATACAACCTAAACGAATTGATTTACGATGATAGAAAAGCCTTCATTTCTTCCTTAAAAGCATATAATAATGTAATTGAAACTCAGATTGAATTTCTATGCATAAAAGATCCGGATGTTATACGCCTTCTTTTGTATCTATAGTATTGTAAGCCTATCAATTTGTTTCCTACTGGTGGTTAGCTGAATAATAATGATCAAAACAAAACTTGTTAAGGTAGAGATCATAAAGTAAAAAAAAAAATTCAATACTTCATCAGAAAGAAGAAGGAAAGAAAATCTGGTAATAAAAATCTTCATTACAATTAGTTCAAACCTCGAAGAAAAATTATTCTCAACAAAGAATAATTCATATCGACCTGCACGTTTGTAATATATTGTAAATTGAAAAGATGAGTGATTAAAGATCAATTTTATTTTATCCTGATATCAAATCACACAAGACAAAGGAACCGTAGATTTATTAAAATCCATGGACTAACGCTGAAGCCATAGAGAGAAATTAGTTTTTCAACTAAGATTGATCATAGAAAAAATTTAAAGTATTCATTTTATTTTGGGGTAGTCCGAACATATTCTGATGTACAATTTAATACATTAAAAAAGGTGTCATAACATGACTAAACTTTACTACTACTCTGTGTGGTTCATATCTACTGTTAGAGTAAATGCATGTTCTCCAGAATTTCAAAAATTTTCTGTCAAGTATGTATTAGTATCAATTAAATACTAAGTCAAGGATTACTATGTGTCTTATTTTCAAGGTAGACATGTCATGGAGGTAAGAATCACAAATCATGCTAACTTGTCAATAAGTGTTGCATGTATACATTAGCGTTGGAAAGATCGGGCCGACAGCTTGCTACCTCGTCCATGAAACTACTTACCATTTAATTGGACAACAATCAGGTTGACTATCTAATCTTTGTCATATAATGCGAGAAGTCACCTGTAACATAACTGTGGACGTAGGAATTGAGCATAAGGTATCTCTGAGATACAATCAGAACTAGATGATGATCACTGCCACTGCCCGATAGGAATATCCAAAGTGATTGAAGAATGTACCGACGTGGTATGTGTGATCCATGAAGCTAGAAATGTCAATGTATTTGCTAGACTCACACATTATATTTTTTTCAATCGTGAACCACGTATACTCAATCAATCACTTTCCCACCTGCATCTCTATGGACGGTCACACACCTGGCATTAGGTAAATGGCTCTAGACAATTTTCTGATTCCAAATCTGGTCTAGCCGAGAAGTAGAAAAGCTACAAATAGCACCAGGAGAAAACTGAAGGCACATGTTATTCTGTCATACATCTACTCTCACCTGTACAATGACTAACCACTTCACATAAGTACTAACTAAATATTTTTCTGTTACATCCAACAACAATTCCACTTCTTTAGCCAGATGTTCATACATTATCCAACTATATGCCAACAAAATCAACATAAGAAACTGAGAAGAATCAGAAGAAAAAGTCCAGATTATTTATTTGGTTTGAAAAAATTTAAAAGTAAAACACTCATGTCATAACTTACAGATTCTCATAGTACTCAACTTAGTAATTAAAAACAGAGATATATTCTTTTCAGTCTCAGTTTCCAACCAGGTATAACAAGACATACCAAACATATGACCGACGATGATCCCCGTCCTAACCTACTCTCCAGTGCCACATCACTCCCGCAATTATTCATAAGTGCACGATGACATGTTTGTTGGTAATTATTCATCAGATCATATATTTTATGAGACATAACTATAAGTTTTGATATCCTTTCCTGGACTAAACTTCGTCGGAATCCGAATCAACATAAAACTCATATATTAACTATTATAGAGAATTTTAGTTTTGTTACAAATTTGTTAGAAATAAAGCCAGAAAATGAGAAAGTTAACCTATAATTAATGTATGTAAATTTATTACCTATACTTCGTTATTAACATAAAAGGATCCATGTGTAGGGTCCATGGCAAAATGCACGTCCGAAGACGAAGTTCGAGATCGAGTGAGCCGAAGAAGTTCGCCATATGAACGAGCAAAGTGATCGAAGCCTGGATCCGAGTCCTGGGGCCATCGAAGCCTCCGGAAGGGAAGGGAAGTGAGATGAAGGGGGCAATGTGAAGCCGGACATTATGGCAGAGCCTGGGACGTTGAAACCGACCGGCTCGCCTCCCGCTCTTTCTGGCGTGCGACCTATTGCCAGCGTCGGCGTTTCTTCTTCGCGGGGCCCGATCATCGTCCGCAAGCGTTACGAAAGACGATGTCCGGATTCTTCGGCCGCTTCTTCCGACGCTCCGCGGCCTCTTGCTCGTCGAATGCCCCGCCCCCCGCCCCCCGCGGGCGCTCACTCCTCGCCCTCGACGACATGATGGTCCCCGGAACGCTTAGAGAATCGAGGGGCGATTCGCGTCTCTGCCTTGCGAGGTCGGTCCGCGATGATGCACGGATCGGGCGTCTTGGTACCGACCGAAGCGTTGTCATCTGATGCTGCCTCCTGCTTCTGCTGCGGCTGCTTCTTCTGCTGCGACGCCCTCTAGCTGCGCGCGAGCATGTCGGAGGAGTGGCCCGAGGGTGGTGGTGCGATGTAGAAATTTGTAGTAGGGTAAAATCGCACGACGACGAATTCTTTGTCGCCCGCGGAGGGGGTTCGCGGGCCATCCGATTTTTCGTTCGTCACGGCGTGGTGCTTCGAGAGCTGCTCTGTCGATGGTCATGGCTCAGGAGCATGTGGCGTTCAGTGCTCCTCTCATCGCGAAGCTCGAAGCGTGGGGTTATGGGGACAAGTCTCCGGCCCCCCTTGCCCATATCATAAGTGCATTGGACTCGCAACCGTTGGCTCTGGTTGAGAGGTTGTCGAACGATCTAACTCACGTGAATGAAATTTCCCATGACCTACGAGTCAAAGTTGCAGCCCTCACGGACAGTCTGAAGCAGGAGAGACTGCGCGTGGAACAACTTGTCTGCGAGAATCAGAAGCTTGTTAAAGATAAAGCGGAACTCGAAAAAAATGCCCAAGAATTCAGAGATTTGATCAGCGAATTAAAAAAACATGAAAACGAAGAAGAGCAAGTGCAACAGTGGAGAGCACAAAGTATGCATCAGCTCCAGGCAAGATATCTTCCCTTCATCCTATAACACGCTACTGCAGGCCATAGAGTCGTTCAATCCAGCTTCCGAGTCGTTTCTCCATCGACATCCTCGTTTAGTGGGGCGTGGAACTGGTATCCAGTACGAAACCATCGACTCCAGGTCCGTAAATGACAACTAGTCCACGGAAGGATCTGCCGCTGTGCAGCTAGTAAATGTATCACTTGAAATCTTAGGAAGATGACCCAATAACTGGGAGTGCACCTTTACCTTCGTGATCATGACACCACGTCTCTTTTGGTGTACGCATTGTATTACGAATGCCACGTTAGCAGGTCAATATACTTGGAAAGTGTGAAGTAATTACCTTGAGTAGTCTAGATCACGACAATGACATCGATGCCACAGTTTCACAAGAAGGACCTCAACCGGTTAACTGCATCTCTCTGAACAACACACACGATTAATTAGTCGACTGTGTGCATCAGTACTTAATTCAACAAGTGGTACATCGCAGGAGCTGGAGAGCATGAATCAAGCCCTTCGCTCGACTCTCAATCTTCAATCCTGCTGTCTCGCTCCCGGTATGATAATCCGCGACAAATCCTTGTTGTCTATCACCCCTCAGTTCGGTCTCTACCAGACAGTTTTGCTGTTCATCACCTCTGGTTTGTGGAAACTCGAGATTAGATTTCAGTACATGTGACTGCTCCAACGGGCACATCTTCCGTACTAGCTTTCAGAACGTTGCTGCAAGAACCGCTGTTCTGTGGATAGATATCGACGTTTCAATCGTTCTTAGCTCAGTTGTCCTGCAGAGGAGGAAGTGACTGAATATGGAAGAGCCTCTTTCATGCAAAATCAGTAATGATCAACTTTATTGGTATCATGCAGAAAGTAAGGATGTTGGAGCCAACCAGCCCATTGAAGCTGCACCGAAAATCACCCTGACCAAAGTTTTAGGTGGGATTCTTGTCCCCATGCATAGGCTTAAGTGCTTGAGGGGAGCCTTAGACATCAAATCGTGAGAATATGTACCTGGATGGAAAGCAGCCACGGGTTCACTTGCTCGCTCAGCGTATATCATGTGTGCATGTTTCCTCACAATGCACCTCTGAACCTATGACTTTGTAAAGGCGTTGAGGATCCTAAGTTTTCTGGACCTTGTCTTTGTTTTTAGCTGCACGAGGCAACATCCCAGGACCTCTGAAGACGAAGGTCAAAAGCAGCAATCCGAAATTGCTGCATCTAGTAAAGTAAGCTACTCTTCATCATATTGAATCAAGTTGCACCTTCAAAAAAAATCATGAGAAGTATTGTCCTGGAAGTCTTAAAGCTACGGCAGTCACGTGTAGCACAGATCCAGATTTAGGTAGAGAAGTTAACTTCAAAGTTTTCCCAGGGTGCATCGTCTAAACGTTCGGATATGGACGCAGTGTTGCAGATATGAAGTGTAAATTGCTGGAGGAAGAACTGCACGTGTGGAAAGAGAAGCACACAATTCTCGAAGACAAACTTCAATCTACTGAAGTAGACTTCCTACCTAACAAGAGCACCAATTCAGCCATAAGATAGATGACATCCTCTTAGAAAAGGGTCACAACGGCGCTTATCCAATAGCAGATAGAACAACTAGGGCTCCACGTAAAAGCTCCAACCCTCAGATGCTGAATGTGATTGAGGATGTCTGCAGTAAGAGATGGTATCTTCATCTAAATGTGCAACCAATAAGATACATATGGAGAAGGCACTACTACTTAATCTTGAACGTTTTCTGTTATTTTGCAGAGAGAGCTCACTTCTCTGTCACGTAACACGGGAACTGGGCTCTGTTCTCTGTCAACTAAAAACGAGACAGAAAAGAACGAGATCGCTCGACTGTCGTCTAAAGGTGGTCAGCAGAACTTACTTCTTGCTCCGCGTTGGTTGGTTCCAATGCTTCTAGGCTTTCTATTAATCTAGTCTTTTCGCCACTGTCGGGATTCTCATTACTCATATACAGTACAACTACATAGATCCAGATATGTGTATCTGGTGAACTGCGGTACAACCTTGAACCCGCTGTCGACTTCAACACGCTTAGAAGTTTGTTACAATCATTCCAAATGCATGAAACTCATAGATCTACTCTCCGATGCTTAGCTTTTGTATGGAAATATTGGAACACATGAGACGTGTTCCAGCAGCCCAATGAATCAGAGAATGCTAGAGAGCCGGTCAAATAGAGACAACAGTACAAGCTAAAATCGTAGAAATCGTGCAGCAACTTCCTATAAAAAATTAAGTGAAGACCTTGACAAAGTACCGACATAAGGCAATGCAGCCTTATATTGCCGCCATTAATTGCTAGGGGTAGTTTCCTAACAACAAAAACCATGCTGCTGTCAAACTTCCTACTCTTACAATTATTTCAACATTTGTCAAGAGTACGAAAACACATCTGAGGACTTACATGAATCTTATTTTCATGTTCTTGATTAACTTGGCTGCAAGATGTGGGAGTTTGTACTGAGAGCCAACCTCAGAAACATGAAGACGTAGAATGTGGAGCCAGTACTATCTTGCCTTCTTCAAAGTTAGAGGACTGTAGGTTGATGAACGACCTGCTATCTTTGTTCCAGGTCCTCACTTTACCTTGGGTTTCACGCGTTCCCTTGCCTTTTTATCAGACTAAACTACACATTTAACAATGTAAGCCTACTTCTGTTGATGAATCTGTCTATAAGCTGAAGCCGGAGTTGCTCCTCTTAGGTCCGCATATTTCGAGGGAAACAGTGAACCGTCAGATAACCAAATTGTGAACATGTCTGTAAATGGACCTCAAGATTCCACATGTACTTATGAGGATACTGATTCTGCAGGATTACGAGAAGGGTTTGAAGCGCCTGACAGAATCCCACTTTTTCGACTTAGAATCATTAACAAGGTGATTCCTGCTTATTTTTGTCTGACATTGAGCAGTTTAGCTTCGCCAGAGGGGGTAAGAAATTTCAATCACGATGACTGAGATCGAAAACAAGATGCCAGAGTTGCCACTTAAATGACATCTTGGCATGCAGCCAATTAGCCGCAGTTGGATTCTCCTTTCACAATTATCTCCTTGACAAAAGATGGAACTCTGACATGTTTGTTCATATCCAAAGCTGGTGTGAGTTCAGAATGCATCCGAGTTTTGCCTGACGACTGGGATGGTGACTTCAAGTGCTACGAAGTTTCAGAGAGAAACAAATTTGCTCATTTTGATAAATAACATTGGTAGCGCAGATCTGAGCTAATTCTAAAATTCACGACTCAGTGCAGACTAGGAACCCTCAACAAGCATCCGCATGAGGATTTCCCTGGGGATGAAAATTCCCTCGAGAAAGTCATGCAGGAGTTTTCAGGTCAACTACAATTTAAGGTAATGGCTTATCTTCCATGTTCTGTGGAACCATGAACAACGGACCGCCTGTTTTCTGAATATTCGTGTAAAATGGCAGAATTCTCTTTTAAATCAAGGGGCTTCTCAGACCGAGTTTTTATGCAAGAAGGACCTTCCCCACTTTTCAGTTCACAGTCAGTTATGGTCGATTGTACTGTGCAGAGCAAGCAGCAGGGCTTAGCAGCACTGTGCACGGAAGGAACGAACTACCAAATTCTTCCAAGACCTCTGGTGACAACCCTATTCCTCCTCTGATGTCAGCCTCCACTTCAGAAAGAAGCTAACTTGCTTGCGTTACCAATCAAGCCCACAAATTAGCCTACAACTGGAAATAACGCACATCGGTTTCCTTGTTCATGCAAGCATAATATTAGGTCAGTTGTGACTCTCCGCACAGTGGAAGGACTGACAATAAATTGATGTACTGATGTAGAAGATGAATGGAGCGAATGAAGAATTGGATCAAAAACTTTTCCAGTTTGGTCAAAAAATTATACATGTACGTGCTAACCCTTGCATCATGCCATGTTGACTCGTTGACTCGATGGAAGCGTTAAGTGTTGTCTTCTCCAATGAACTCCGTATCCGCTCGATGTGTTTGCCCCATGTTGGTTCACATTGGATGATATTTCTGAGCTTTACTACAACATACAAGAACGCTCTCAAGTATGTGCGTACATCTTTAATTATTTGTATGATTTCGACCCCATGCAGGCTATTTACTGTGGTTTCTACAATATGTTACAATGCAGATGATCAAGTCCATCATATCATTCAAAGATCAAATTGCCATTAAGGTATGAATCTCAGGAATTGCAAAGCCTTTGGAGTCTATTCAAATTTCAAGAATCATTAGGTTACAGAACTCTCGTCTGTTTGTTGGAATGGATTAAGTCTCGACAAGTTTCTTTTGGGGTGATATGCTTATCTGGTAGAGAAGAAACAGATTACTCAAAGGACTAGCCAAACCGAGAGAGTCATGTGCTAATGGGATCTGGACTTGCTATCTCGCATTCAACTCGTAGCTGTTTTCGAAGTACAAATTAATCGGTGGGAAGAATTATCAAAGAATTATGGATGCCAACAGTTTCATGCCCCTTTCAGTTGGAAGATGGCAAAGCAAAAGTGGAGGAGCTTCGATCAGTTTTCGAGTCACAGAGGTTCCAAGTAGCATCGTTGCGGTCGCAGCTCATTAAGAAAACTGATGAAATCAACTTCATCATGGATGAGAAGGTCTGCACAATTAGAACACGTATATTTCTTATCGAAAGGGAGGTGCAAATTTGTTCTAGAAATTTCGGACACCTATCTCTATGTGAAATTTTTTTATATCCGTTCTCAAAGTGCTGAGAAGGTCAGTGCAACTGGGTTTCCTAGCTTCACGTACCGACATGACAAATTTAAGTCAATACTTTAATCTGCGCTATTGATGCACATTGCGCATCTCGAACCTCTGATATGCAAATCATGAGTCTACTAATTTTAACCTACAACGCCAGGTAGTGGGAGAAGAAGCTCTACAAGCTAGCCAGCTTGAATGCAACGAGCTGTCGTCATTGATCAAGGTACATATCTGGGCATAAACAACTGCTACCTCAATATCAGGAGCAACTCGATTTCCGTACAAGCAGTCATAGAAGAAATTATCTGATCATCTTTAAAGAATGCTTTCTTATCTGACATTCTGCTAAAAATTATGCATTCCCTGTCAAATTATCAGGTGAAGAATACTGAGAGCTTGACCTTATTTAGCCGAGTCATAGCTGACATTTTACTGATATACAACAGGAAATTGACGGGAGTATGGTGCAGCTAACAACTGCATTGGCCTCCAGGACTTGGGAGCGTGATCAGGCAGGGTTCCTTTGAAGCAGTTTCATCTTGTCATTTTATCGAAGTTTATATATCAATTCAGGAAGTGTATTTGATACAGATTCTAAAGTATCTGCGAAGAGCTAAAATTGCCCAGTCAGGTTTTAGAGTACGTAGTGGGTACTTGTTTAATGAACACCTGAAACACCTCTTCTCAGCGACAAGTGGGCCCGTGATGTTGTCGATGCTAACTAAACTAACACATAAGTTAACTATATACATTGATTCGCAGGATTCAGAATCAAGGAAGAGTACGGAACAGGAGCTACGAAAGAGATACAGCAACTTGCTGTAATGTTTAATCTGGAGATTTGATCCCCTTTTTCAAGTTCATGTTCACTTCAATCTGCTCAATGAAGAAAAGAACTCAAATTTGGCCTTTGTGCACAATAGTGACTTTAAAGACTTGGAAAAAAAAAAGACTCTTAATTCGGGGTTCTTAGATGAAGAAAAACTTCTCATGTCAGGTCTCAATTGGACGACGCTCGGAATCAAGTCATAAAGCTTAAGCTGGAACTTGAGCAGAGGAGAACGCAACAAGAAAAGGATAAAAAACAAGCAGAAGGCCTGATCTCAGAGCTTCAGATATGCACGTATGTCTACCTTAATCATCCTACAATTCACAATCTCTTATGCTCTGTCAACATGCCGTCGTTACCATAGGCCCTCAGTGCCCATAAAGGCAGGTTCATTGATTGAGGTTATAGGAATTACGTTGTACTCCTAGGGCTACTAGCGGTGGTTGTTGTTAGTTTTCAAGGACGGGTTGTTGCAACGATAGAGCACGAAGACACTTTGGATTCAGATAGAAGCAAAGGTACCGTTCTCAGCTTCTGTGAACTGTCAACTTCCATCTCAAAAACTTAAGCGCGATAGCTTCTGAAATGCAAATGATCTGAAACACGTTTCAACTATTCGAGACTTCCAGTAAGCGCATGGAAAGTGCAGAACAAGACGTCGAGCAACTGAAGACCCTTATTATCCAGCTGGATGCTGCGCGGGAGGATCTGGTCTGTTAACTACTCCGTATCTTGAGACTTCTTTGTGAGCCCCAAGGGAACAAGCTGGATTTATCAGACATTTGTAAGGGCACATATAATGGTTCAGATTAAAAGCTGCGCATTTCGTTGGTACTTTACCGAACAGCTCTCAAGATGGGTCCTTCGCAGGTGGATAAGCTGGAGTCAACAATGTCAAAAGAACAACAGGCGGAAAAACATATTGCAGCACTGGAGGGAGAAGTTGTACAGTTAACAGATCTAGTACAAAATAGGACAGCGGAAGTCTCAAATACCTGTGGCTTGCTTGAGGTCCTGAGCAATGAACGTGATCATCTTCAGTCCGAGGTAGTTCACTCTACATACTAATGTGATTTGAAACTTATAAACCTTCCTTCAACACAGTAAGCCTAATGATGAGTTTCTGGACGTCTACACATCTTTTTCAATTCCCATTGCTACGATCATTAATCTGGTAAGGTTCTGAATTCCCTTTGCTGGGTTTTACAGCTCAACAACTTGAGAGAAAATTTGTCACTAGAAGAAGCGACTAGAAACCGACTTGAAGAGCTTTGGAATTCGAAGGTGGCTGACAACGGTGCAAGAGCTCCTTTCAATATCAACTCATTCACTCTCTATTGAGGCTGTTTTTGAAAAATTCTAAGGATCTTGACTGAGATCTAAACATTGCATATGTTGCAGTCCAGTGAGCACCGAGCAGCCGCAGAGGAACTCGCGGCCCTCAAGTGCGATTACCAAGTATGGTTTAATACTTTGCACTAAACTAGAAACTTTGACCTTGTAAATCAACACTCAGGATAATAACAAGCAGGCATTCCGTTCTATACACTACGTTAAACTTACCTCGTAACCAATCGTGGTCTTAATCTGCGTGTTTTCTCTACTTTCGTACATAGACAATTTTCTGATTCGTTACTGACGTAAGATGAGCATTAGATGTATCTAATGCTTGTGTCAAATGTACAAGATTTCCGCAATGATTACAGAAGTAGTGAATTTGCAAATCTTTACCTGACAACTGGAGGTACTTCACTACAGCTATTGAAAACTGATTTAGTTCAGCTCAATGAAGGCAGCGCACTGTTGATGGAGGATCTGAGAATCATGACAGACAAAGCAAATCAGTTTCACCAGGTTTTCTCCATGCTCGAGGCCATATCTAACACATGTTATACTAACAATTGTACTGGAAGAAAGATCTATGCGAAAATTGGTACTAACAATTGTACTGGAAGAAAGATCTATGCGAAAATTGGTACTCCGTCACTTTGCAAATGTCCTTCCTGCCTTGCAAAAAAACACTTCATGTCTCTAGGAGGAGAATATAAAACAACCTGTGCCTTGAGACTAAAGAGAAGTTCATTGATGTACTTTAATAGCTTATAAGTGAAGTACCTGATTTACACATCTTTACCACAGGCATTAATTGTTCGGGAAAGAGAGCAAGAGAATATCTTTCGTCTTTATGAAAGTGTTTGTGAAGAAAATCACCACCTTAAGTTGGCCGTCTATGAGATAGAAAACCAGGTAAATATCTTCCATTTTCTGCGGAGATCTGTCCTCTCCATTTCTCCTGAGAATGTCTTCCTGCGTAAGCATCAGAGAAATAGGCCACCACTTTTGAAGCACTTGACTCCAACATCAAGTAAAGTGTTTTGCAATTGAAAATGATACAGATTCAGCAACAAATGTTTCATCACGAGAACATGGAGGGCATGCTTCGCAAAGCAGATGAGCAAGTCAAAGCCCTTGTTGAAGAAAATGAACGTGTTGTGTCAGAACTGAAGGTATTGAGCAACGTGAGGAATGAACAACTGGGGACCGATGTATATTTTAAATGGTCATCACCTAAATCTTGTGGCTTAATGCCACATGTTCAGTTATTCATGGGCTTCTGGTCCTTGTCTGCCTCCACGTCGAGTATCGATACAAGTCATGTTCTTAAAACCAACACTTCGGGAAAACCTTACAAATACTGGTGCTGATAGTCCTGCTGTGGAGCCTGGTGGGAGCACTTGACGCCCCACTTGGTTGGCCTTTCAATCTATGAGACACGCCATTTCCAAATTACTGTTTTGGTGAGCAGGGACTGGAACGACAAGCAGACTTAATGACGCGGTCTCTGAATCAGCAGTCAGGACTTCTCGACGACCATGCAAAGGAAAAATCAGTGTTTATTTCGCAACTAGCAGCAGCCAAAGTGGTACTTTACGTTCTTCAACCTTCACTGCAATAAATCTAATAACTAAACCACAGTGGAAGATCTCAGACTCTAATTTATGGAAAATGATTGATGCAATTTATTTCCCGAGGTGATGAAGTGATATAACTAGAATATGAGAAAACTACTTCAAGCGAGAATTGCTATGTATATCTTACTTTTTTCGCATGTCCCGAACTCGCTTTAGAATCAATCGTTCATGTTAAAATGGCGTTTCTTTTGTCATGGAATGTAGGCCATCAGTGACTTGGAAACAAAACTTAGCAAGAGTCTTATGGAGATGGCGACGCTAGAAGAGAAAAATCGGAAGCTGTCTGAGATGCTCCAAAACAGTATCCAGGTACATTCGAATAGCCATCTCACATGCAGTCCTGGAATTTTTAATGTTCCAGGATACATGCTCACTTCAAGGTTGAAATAGTTTTAAATATAAGGAACATAACCAAAAAAAGTACACAATTCGATCCCCACTTATTGAGCGGTTAAATAACGAAACAAGTTGTATGCTTCGAAGAATTCAATAATCCGGGGACAAGTAATGCGGTACGTCAAAACCGTCTCGAATATATAGCAGATTGAGGTGCTTTAGCCAAAACTAATCCTATTATAGCTATTACCTTGTCTATTACTACGTTTTCATTGCAGGAATTCCCTCGTTAGCTGGATTTGGTAGCAAATTACTCGGCATTGGACTGCGTCTCCGAAAGCATAGCCAGAAGCCTTTCTAGCATCATTGATGAACCCAGCTTGTTCAACAACCCGTTCTTGACCTCTCTAATTGCAATAAGTTGTGGACATGAATTTTTCAGGAAGTAGAGAAGTTGTCAGCAACTTGCAGCATTGACCAAGAGCGGGTGAAAAATCTGGAGCACCTACTGGCTTGCGTTCGAGAAGAAGAGCAAAAGTTAGAGATGGCAAGCAAGGTCTGAATATAATTGCATGTTCCACAATCTCAATGATGTATTTGCAAATGAGAGTATCAACTACGTCAACCCCTGGTAACACATAGATATACATTAATACATGTACAGGTCTTGCTGTCGTCACTAGTTGTTGTATCCTGCGCAACAAAGCTCATTATTCACAACTTTTGCAGGATACTGTCTCTGAAAATTTGCTGTTGAGAGAAAGAGTTTCTGTCTTGCAAGAGCAGGTAAGATCCAGAGCTTTCAGCAATGAATATTAAGGTTTAGCCTCGTCATTCCAAACCATATCGAACCATCGAACCAAAAGTGAGCTGGGTAAAACCTAATAAGAACAGTCTCCAAGAAAAAGGAACTGCCTCTTGAAACTGACTCCTAAAACTGCTTGGTTTCACAACAGGTCAATCACTTGCAAGTCACGAGAAGTGCTCAAAACCAGGACATCATGCGGCTGCAAATGTCCAAGAACAGAGTGCGTATCTCGTTACAGCCCAAACATAGTTAAGTGGGATATCTCCAGTAGGGAGGGCCAGTAATAGCTGCGGATTTTTGCAATTTTTGCAGGCAGTTAAGGAGCCTAGCTCTCGATAGTACTGTTCTATCCCGGAGGTCTTGGATAACGAAACATCGTCTCGTTCCAATGGAGAGATTCTAAGTGCGTAGAAACCTTCTCAAGCATACTAACTTTGTCTCTTTTCTAGACTGAATAGTAATTCATACATTGAATAAAAAACCTTTTTGTAAACACATGCGTTAAGGATAACCAACTGAGTGTTGCTTGTAGATCGAAGTGGAGGAAAGTAGAAGATTGTGGTCTACAGCAAGTTTTCCAGCATATTCAACCCAATCCTTAGATTCTCAACCTTATCAACCCGCAAAAGATCTCGCCGCCTCGAAGGTATATATAATAATTACCTTGAAATTTTTTGAAATTTTTTGTGCATTTCATTTCGCACAAGCAACCCGGCACAAATTATATCTCGCTTCCCAGAGGTCGCAGACATGGGAGGTTATGAACGCAGTATGTCTTCACTTGTACATGCCCAGATCCAAGATTTGGAGAAGAAGATTGCTTCAGTAACAGCTGACCTATCGAAGACTACAGCACTTTACAAGGATTGTCTCTCAAAGCTTCAGAGAGCAGAGTCGAGGTAAAGTTAGAGTATCCATATGACCTGCCTTCTGTCAACACTGCATACGATGTGTATGCGATTTGAACTCGCGTTCAAAATTCATACTCCATAAATCTTGTTGTTCATGGAGTTGGCAATATCTTGTAACGTTGACATCTCTTTGATTTACATCCTGTGCAGCTTTTCGGAATTGAGAACGGAGTTCGACCATGTGTTGGGCTTACTAACGAAGGTGCAATGACTTCCGACTTAAGTCCACACAGTGGTTTCATTTATTTGCATTTTAAATGTTCCAAACTTAGCGCTTTTTTGGTTTCCTTGATTAATGATTTAACATCAGCAGTTTGTATGGTGTAATTGATTCCAGTTTGTATAGTGTAATTGATTCCAGTGACGATAGATGTCAGGTAAGCAATTACTCAATTTTGAAAATCCAACCGAGTGTATCCGACAAACCCAGATACCCAGGTCTCTTAGACTCTCCTGTCCGTGTGTCTTATCATTTCAACTTTTACTTAAATTTTCGGGAGCTCCAACATATGTTGATGTAACGACCCAGCACATGATCTTGATGTTTCACTAGGTTGACGAAGAAAGGATCCAGTTGCGAGAAAAATGTGCTGAGTTGGAAGGAACAGCCTTAAAACACCCATGCTCGGGGCACAACAGTCCCGTCAAGCATAGCCACCCGGAGATTGTATGGATGCAGGTAGGTTCCCATTCTCCGGTCTTAATATCTCCAACGTCTCCTAGTTTTCCGTTGCAAGCTGAATAGTCATGGTGTGCAATCTATGATTAGCATATTTTCTGGAGCCATGAGTGTCTAAAGCAAGAATGTAATGAAATGTTGAGAATATATTTGTGCTTGATAGTTCAACAGAAGTCATATTCTCGGTTTTCAGTAAGATTTGCAAGATGAAGCATGTCTGTCTATTTGCCTCGAGATTTCAGTAAATCCTCTCCTCAAGGAAGCCAGTGCTGGAGAAGGAAGCAATCACAAGCATCGGATTATAGATCGAACAAAACAATGAGACGTTTTCTCGTTTGTTCAGCGATCCCTTCATGGACCAACCATAGTTGTGTTTTTGACTCGAGTTGCAGAAGGAATGTCACAGGTTGAAAAAGGAATCAGCTCTTTTAGAGCCAAGTTCGGAAACAGCTACCACTTTATCTTGAGTAGTGAGCCTCTTCCAGCTGCACGATTTAACTTTTTATGAAAAAGTTCCGCATGTATCTTCTGAACTTGGTCTGCTTGATGCCGATGCACAACGCCACATCTTCGACGCAGGAAGTGTTCAAACGCATTGATAAAGAACGAAACCTGTGCAGATCTAAGATGCTCAAAGCCAAACTTGTCACTGACAGAAATATGTTCGTACTACACTGCAATGCCTGGAGGTAATACCGATCACTGAAGAATGCCGATCACTCCTTAATAGCAAGGCGCTGTTGTGAAATTGCCTAAAGCAGTCCAGGGTGTTCACATGCATGATACATATATACTATCATCTCTTAACTGGCTCGCCTTTTCTTTTACCAGGGCTACAACATCGTTTATCTACTGGGGAGACTTCCCTCTTGTAACCCGACTTGAGAGCAGGACGAGTCAGCTCAATTCACTTGTAGATCAAATTCCATTACCGGGTGGAGGGCTGGTGCCAGCACTCCAGAGCAAATTGTCTTATTGACAATCATTGATGACTGGAGATAGAACCAGGAGATGGTGTGCAGCTCGACCCACTAGTTTCCGGGATGTGTCCATAAGACTGTAATATACATTCATTTTAGCACTGGGGCTGTAGATCGTGGAGTCTACTGATGCATGCAGAAAAGATGTCTGAAGAGAGAACCGTGAGATTGATGTGTCTATAAAAGTGTAAATTACAGTCTACCGATGCATGCAGAAAAGAACACGAGGCCAAAAATTGAAGGAGCTGTGCTGTTGATAAACTTCTTCAAGCCGCTAACACGTTCAGAAATTTCAGTCCTGTCGTTTCCGCTGAAGACCAAAACGTTAATCAAAACCAAGAGTTTTGTTTAATACCCAGGATTCGAGGCGTTTATGCTTAGGGATGTAGCCATCGATCGCTGCCTCAACAACTCCTCGCGTTTTGAGTATGTGACGGAGGGTCGGTATTATGCATCTTTACCAGAGCTAAGGAAGTATTCGCTGCACCTAATCTGAGTAGGCGTTGAGCAATTCATGTTTATATCCGATCCAAGCTTTTCGCTATTTCCATATCTCTGTGCGGAAAATAATTGCATGTTATTAAGGCTTGCTTTTGCTACAAAATTTGTATTGCAATCTTTATAAACTTTTCGATATCGCTTTTAGTGAGTAGTAAAAATTATCACATTTAAGCTTTAGCTTTTCCATTCTAAAATTGCAAAACATCGAGAGTTTATATACAGAAGTTATGTGTTCGAGAGCAACCGAATGGACCCAAGAATTTCACCTCAATTCTGCCTTTGCTTGTTCACCCGTTGGACAATTCCAAGATCTTCTTACAACACAAGACTGTAGATTGCAAACGATCTTTGACACAGCGAAGCGTAATTTGCAACAGTGATCATCATGTTCTCCTCTGGTAACTGGTTTGCCATCGAGCTAACGAGACGTTTAATCGAAAGTACCGCAGATTAGTCGAATCGCGTGCATGGCGCTACGGCAAAGGCCGAGCATAAAGCACTTTCACCAAGCAAATGTGAAGACGAGCACTGAGCTGGAATGCAGTAAACCCGGCGGCGGCTGCGCGGAACATGCCATCTTCTTGAGCGAAGGGCGAAGGCCTGCGTACGGAGACATCGTCCGGCAATTCGTCATGGGCTTGCATCACAGGTTCAGAAGACAGAAGACGGAAGACTCCGTCGAGGCCGTCTTCCACGGTGCCACTCCCTCCCTCCCTGTCGCTGTCGCTGACGGCTGGCGAGACTGTTCTTTGAGTTATGGCGGCGGCATCTTCGGCATGAAAAGGTTCACGCAAAATCAATGCACGCAGAGGGGATATGATCGGAACGGACCATGCGGCAACTGGATCAGCATGGCATCCCACTCCAGCCACCAGCCAGCGGCCGGTCGAGCAAGTGGTCTCCACGCTGATCCGCTCGGTGACATCTCGAGGCCATTTGACGAACCATGCGCAGAAGGTATTTAACAGTCGACTCAATCCATTCACACTGCCTGAACGCCCGCCATCCCCTCGTGAACCGACTCATGCATGCACGGTCCACAATTCCTCATTACTCGACACTGACTCCGATCCAATCTCGCCACAGAGGTGAGGGCGGAGGTGCTTCTCTGCGACTCACCGAGAAAGGCAACCAATGCTGACACCGAGCAATCAATCAATCGGGCAACGCTGCAGTTCCTACGCGAGATCGGCAATCATACGTGAGGGGAGCATCGTCGAGCATAAACGGAACCAGGCGTGATGAGCCTCTCTCCATTAACTGATCATTATACAAAATTGTTCGGATTGCTGCTCCAAAATCATGACACCCATCGGAGGCAGAAATAATGTTTGAAGAAAGGAGGGAAAAGGAGGATCGGGTAATCGGACTCTGGCCTGCCTTCGAAGTCCCTGAAGTAAACAAATGGCGCTATGGCTACTCCTGAGCTAGACGACCAGACGATGAGACGAGGCCCTAGGTCTGATCACCCTCCAGTGAGTGAAGCGAAGTGACCTGAAATGAAGTGAAGGTCTTCCTCGAAAATGACGGAGCTTGGAAGTTGGAAGACACTCGACTGGGCTCGGAGTCCTAAATGAGCTACGGAGGATAGATCGATCGAAGAACGCAGACCAAATACAACGCTTCAAGGGTAGAAACTCTTTACAATCAGGAACCTTCGCTTGTTGCCCTGCATTTATTCGTGGGGTCGGGTGGGGCCGTAATGTTGGGCCGAGATCCAATCGCCCGAGCTCATCAGAGAGATGAGAGGGTCGACCATGGTGTTGGTTTCGTGGCTCGTGCGGAAGAAGATGTCGACTCTCCCCGATCGCGAGACCGCCCGCAAGCGAGAATTCCAGCAGTTGTGCATCGGCAGCGCGAGCATGTCCTCGGAGCTGATGGAACGAGCGAGCGGATGCATGGCGAGGACGGGCGATGTCGAAGCAGGAGAGGCAAGGGAATCGGGAGGCAAATGATGGCGTCTGGGCTTCGGAATCGAATTCGCCTGCGGAATCCCGAATCAGGAATGCTGGCCGCCGAAGGTGCGGGAGGGCGTGAAGGATTCGGAGAACGAGTAGAGCTCGGACGGGTTGTCGACAAAGGGCGACGGGGCGTCGAGGTCGTCCTTGGACTTCTCGGCCGAGGTGTCGTAGGCGGATCGCGAGGTGTCATCGCCATTGTCGCCATTGTCGTTGCCGCTGTCGGAGAATTGCCGCACGTCCTCGAGCATCTTGACGACCTGGTCCATGGAGGGGCGCTGGTCGGGCACGTGGGCCACGCACTGCATGGCGATTTGCAGCATTTGGACCATCTCCTCCTCGATGTTTTGGTAGCTCATGAGCTCGAGGTCGAACACCTCGGCCGTCCACTCCTCGCGCACCACGGACTGCACCCAGCGCGGCAGGTCGATGCCCTCGTCGTTCAGCGTGGCCTGCGTCGGGGCCTTGCCGGTGAGCAGCTCCAGCAGCAGCACGCCGAAGCTGTAGACGTCGGCCTTCGTCGTCACCTTGCGCGTCTCCACCACCTCGGGCGCCCTGTACCCGACGATCCTCGACGCCGCCGCGCTCGAGCTCAAGAGCTGCGCCAGCCCGAAATCCGACACGCACGCCTCCAAATCCCTCGTCAGCAGCACATTCGACGACTTGATGTTGCCGTGCGTGAAGTTGTGCTCGCCGTGCAGGTACGCCAGCCCTCGCGCCGCCCCTGTGGCGATTCTCACCCTCGTGATCCAATCCAGCGGAGTGCGCGAGCCCCCCTTCGTCCCTGCCACAGCCCACCCACCCACCCGGCGTCAGCCATCTCGAATCGACGCACGAGGCAATGCCACAATCGACGAGACAAAACACGCGCAGGCGAGAATCATCAGAGGCCCCCGACGACCACCGAATGCTCGAGGCCACGAGAAATCTCGAAGCTCGATCGACCAAACAATGTGGACTTCACAGCGCAGAAACAAACCCAAAATCGAAGAGAGAAAAAAAGGGGAGGCGAGAATCGATTCCGGATTCGATTCGGGGAATAGGGCGGGCGGAGGACTGACCGTGGAGCAGAGCGGAGAGGCTGCCGGCGGGCATGTAATCGTAGACGAGGAGCTTCTCGTCCTTGGAGAAGTAGAAGGCGCGGAGCGGGATGAGGTTGCGGTGGTGCAGGCGGCCGACGGTGGCGATCTGCGCCTCGAAGTCCTTGCGGGCGGTGGTGACGTCCTTGAGGCGCTTGACGGCGACGATGCTGCCGTCCTCGAGCACGGCCTTGTAGGCCGTACCCACGCTGCCCTTGCCCAGGACCTCGGCCGAGGCGCGCAGCAGGTCCTCCAGGTCGAAGGTGTAACGCTTGCCCTCGAAGAAGACGAGCTTGCTGCGCTCGGGCTCCTGCGCCGAGCTCGACAGCTCGTCCTTGCCCTCCTCCGCCGCCTTGCCCGCGCCCGCGCCGCCGCCCTCGCCCTTGCCCCGCGCCCGCTTCTCCGCGCGCCGCCGCCCGCGCCCCCGCCGCCGGAAGTAGCACAGCACGCACACCGTCGCCAGCAGCGCCACTAGCGCCGCGTCGCCCACCGCGATGGCGACTATGGCGCCCGTGCCCAGCTTGTTCTTCTTGCCCCGGGGCGCGCTCTCGGGCGCAATCTCGGGGGCTGGGGCTGGGGATGGCGCATTCGCGCAGGCGACGGCCGTCGGGGGGCCGCAGACGCGCGCGTTGCCGGCGAAGCTGGCCGCTGGGAAGTTCTGCAGGAGCGGCGGGACGGGGCCGGACAGGTCGTTGTTCGAGACGTCGAAGGCGGTGAGCGCCGTGCCGTTGAGGGGCGGGAGCTGGCCGGAGAGTTGGTTGTTTTGCAGGAGGACGGTTTTCAGGAGGGTGAGGTTGGCGAGCGACGGCGGAATGCTGCCGGAGAAGCGGTTGTCGGCGAGGTTGAGGTGCACGAGGCGGGGCCAGGCGGCGAAGAGGTCCGGCGGCATGGGCCCCGAGAGCCGGTTGCCCTGCAGGTAGAGGCTCTTGACGTGAGTGAGGTTAGGCAGGTCGGCCGGTAGCGGGCCCGAGAGGCGGTTCGAGTGCAGGCTGATGACGCGGATCTGGTCCAGCATCCCCAGCGTGCCCGCCGGTATGGTGCCGTTCAGCCCGTCCCCCGGCAGCCGCAGCTCCCACACGCGGTCGCCGTTGCACTGCACCCCCGGCCACGCGCAGCCCCCGGTGTTCGGTGCCCCCCAGCCCAGCAGCCGGTTCAGCGGGTCCACGGCCTGCCGAAAGGCCAGCAGCGCCTGCGTGTCGCTCTCGGCGTCGCCCGCCAGCGCCGGCCCCAGCGTCGGCGCCAATGCCAGCCACACCAGCAGCAGCATCGGCGCCATCCTCCTCTCCCAGCCCCCGCCGCGCTCGCGGACCTTGTTCATCTTGCGCCCTGCGACGAATCGAGCACCCGCGACGGCTCCAGGCTTAATGCTTGATGCGATGGAAATGCTGCGTGGTCGACAGAGCCCAAGCCCCAGACCCAGACCCAGACCCGGACCCCTTAACTCTACGCCGCGCGATTGACGACGCCTCCTCCTTCTCCTTCTCCTGGTTGGCGCAATGCTCCGAATCACTCCGTGCGCATCTCCTGATCAGACACCGCTCCGGCGGTTGTCCCACGCATACGCTTTTTCACCGGCTGGGCATCGTGGCGGAACTCACACACGGGACCATCTTACTCACGGGGCCCCCTTCGCTTCCTCACGACGCTGTCATCCGACGCAGCTCGACTTCTCCCTCCCATCCTGCTGACGGAGACACGAAGTGCGCGCAACGCATTGCTCGCTTCGACATTACTACGTCGACCCCTCCTGACACCCACGACGACGACTCCGCACTCTATCTATGTTTCTATGTATCTGTCTCTCCCAAGACACAATGCAGCGACAGTCGGAGACGCATTCGGGATTCGGCTTGGCTCTCTGATATATCGCAACCACAACTGCTGCTGCTGCCTCGAGGTCGGACTCGTGTCTCCGAGCGAAGCTACTGTCGACGACAATGTGCCCCGCCTGCTGTTCTCTCCTCTTGTTGAGTCCGGCCGCAGCAGTCCTGGTCCGAGAAGGTGCCCTCGCCCTCGTCCTCGTCCGGCCGCTCGCCTCGTCTCCTCCTCATCGAAGGAGGGGGCTCGGGGTGCAAGCAGCAGCATAAACCACTGAGCCTCTCTCCCCCGCCCCCAAGCCCTCGATAGATAGATAGCCCCGACCGTCTCCGGGCGCCCAGCCAGCTAAACGGCAACTCGTCCCCGCCCCCCCCCCCCCCCCCCCCCCCCCACCCCCCGGGGGCCACGCACTCACGCTCGAGAGAAGAACACGACGCATCTCTCGAACAAGAGCGGGCGAGACGCGGCGCCGACGACGACGACGACGACCACCGCCGGGATCCCCGCGACACAGAGAGATAAAGAGAGAGAGAGAGAGAGAATGCGGTGCCGGCGGGCAGATACCTCCCGCCGCCAGGAACCCCGGTCCGGCGAGTTGAGCGACCGAATTCCCGAGTGGATGGGCCCGCTAGACGGACGACGACACTCGCGTACATACAGGGGGGCCTGAAATAGACCATGTTTCCCGGCGACTCATAATTGGGGGCGTACGTGGATTTGCGGCACTATCCGTTGCCCAAAAGCGTAAAGCTGTCGCACTCTCAACGGCTACACTGCTCGAAAGGGCTACGGCCGGGAAATGCGAGTCCCCGTCGATCGGTCGCCGGCGGCGGCGGCGTGCCCCTCTCGAGGGGGAAGGCCTTGGGAGCTATGGCGTATGGGCGGGAGAGCGCTTACTTAAGAGCGTCGCGGGAGGCAATCAGTACATAGGTCGCGGTTGATCAGCATCGAGGACCACCCCGCACATGTGCTGTCCTTAATCCGGCCTCCATGTCTGCTCGGAATGATGGGCTCCCGGGAGGTCCGAGATGGATCCCTCGCTGGGGCGTCCTTTGCCTTTCTTCTCATGATCCTAATCATTTCGATAATAATGCGGACCCCTTTATGTCGGGCCTTCGACGTTGGCACCAGAGTGTCAAATCAATGAGAGATGTAGATTCTGCGAGATAATCGCGCACCGGGTTCCCTCGATTGATCGGAACTGGAATTTCAATTTTCAGAATTCGAAAAGAATGGTCCATTGCCTCGCTTTGTGCGGCACTCGGCCATGATGTTGGAAATATGGGACTTGACTATTATTCTCTGCAGATCGAGATTTCTCTCGTTCTGGGTTCAGTGCATAATGATCGCAGCGGTGCTCTCAATGATCTGTGAAGGCTCTTTCCGAGAGTTTCTTTCGGCCCGGCATATGTCCAACGCAACTCCACCATCTCCTCAAGTTGCAACCTTGGCTAGAGTTTACATTCTCTTAACCCCCTATCATTCGTGACAGACATGAATGTGTTAATAATGCTATGTTAGTCTATAAGATTCAAGTGAGAATCGCGAGAAATGCTGCTACAACCCTTGACAAGGATATGGTTACATATCTTTCCGTCCTTCCCTCGTTCCATATCGTTCCATTTCCTTTGCATTGTCCGTTTGATTCAAATCCTGCGCTTGTAGTTTCTACATAACTAAATAAATAAGTTCTGCCTTTATGGAAAGAAATTATTCCAAAAGTCCCGAAGCATGAAATTTCGGCGTTGATGCTCCAAACATCGTTCGAAATTTCAGTGGTAGAACGAGATACAGTCACTGCAAATGCAGATGCTCCGCAAAGTTTGTTATCATCGCGAGGATTACCACAATATCCTTCACTCCACCTTCTTACCGCTCTTTGTCTAAACATGAAGCCTACTGGCTTCATGGCCGTACGTACTCAGGGAGGGTAAACTTTTTAACGTCATACGTAGCTCTCAAGCCGCCTTGAGTACGTGTTCAGCAACAAACAAAATTACAACCAGTTTACCATTTCATTTCAATAAAACAGCAGTGTCACTGTTTGAAGAAGTCTTTTGAAACTAAATTTTGAAGCGAATTTCAAAATTCTTTATCTTCAATACGAAACTGCGTCAGGGAACTTTAAAGGACTTGAAACCTGTATAGAGTACATACAATTCGGTTAAGAGATTGTTTCGTACTAACTATCTATCTACCTAAACTATCTAGAAAACTCTAATCTGAATTATTTTATCTGGACTTTATTACACGAACAAGTCTCAGTAAATGTGCGTGATCGATAACCTTGTGATGACCAGGACACGGTATCGAAGAGTATCAGTAGCCTCCCGCTGGATTGAACTGCAAACAGGGAAGCGTACTATTTCCTGGTGAATGCAGATCGTATAAAAATCAGTACAAAGTAGTGCACAGATTTGCTCGAAATAAATACGGGGTTCTGACATCGAGCTTCACATCCATGGTGGTTTGAATGACGAGTCCAGTTGGCATTACGCAACACCACCGTACTTGCCAGCCTTGGGCTTTAACTCTCCTACATACTCTTCAAATTATTGATACCCCAGACATGCCAAACAGCAAGCCAACCGTATAGACTTCGTATACTACTCCATCACCTAGCTATACTGAAATCATTACGGTCGGAATCTTCTGTATGCCTGAATACAGGTGTAGACACAGCTCATTATAAAAAGTCTAGCGTCGAGCGTTCACTTTTGAAGTCGGCAAGCTGCCCGAGTATGCCACAATCCGACCACCGTGAAGCTGTTTACACTCGGACCACAGTCGAATTTGGGGCCCAGTACAATCACCAGTGGAGTGTAGTAGCCGAAAGGAGGGGGCTATTTATGGGCTAATCCCATGAAGCCCCTCGTAGACCTCGTCTCTCGAGAGCTCAGAATCCGACATTCATTCCGGTCTCGTGGGGACATGTCGCGCGACCGGAAGGAGATCTCGGGGACCGGCGACAGGCAGTCGAGGGCGGGACTGGAGGTGGCGGGGGAGAGATTTGGCGGCTTATCTGGAGGAGGGCAGAATCAATGCCCGGGCCAGGCTTTTAAGGGCGCGCGGGCCCGGGCCAATGGGCCAATGGCACGGCCTCCCTCTTATGAGCGGCAGCAGCTCGGCCATGGACACAGCCTCGTCCTCGGCCATGGCTGGCGATGAAGGAGAGACGTCAGTGGAGATGGAATGAAGCAGCCAGCTAGCTCCATCGAACTCCATGGAGGAGAGATGGCGACAGGGCGACCATGAATTCCTTTCCTTTCGTCCATCGAATTGGACCGAGTGAATGGATTGGCCGATGGATGAGTTTCGAGCGACGGCAGCGGCGAGAGAGAGAGAGAGAGAGATGGATGGCGGCTGCTCTGGCCGTCTCTTCGACTGCGGCGAGTGTCGTGCAGGAGAGGACGGACTTCGAGGGCTGCAGTCTCTGAAGGCGCCAGGAGAGTTGGCATCGAGGGGGGGAAAGTTCAAATGTGCCGATGCGGATGGGAGCACGAAGAGCAGCGATGGCGGACGAGACCTCGGACTCGGAAGAATATGATGGTTCTGGGATCGGATCGCTCGCCTCGATCGCCATGAATCGAAGTACACGTCCTCGGGACGCGGTGCGACGCGATCATGCCTCCATCAGAGCCTCGATCGAATTGCCATTACACTTCTCGCGTGAGCCTGAGCGCTCGACTTCGATCGATCCCGTGCTCGACGCCTGACCTAACCCTCACTCCTCAACTCTCGTCGTCCGCGTGACTGTGCAACTGCGCAAGCGATGCCGTAACCGGATCCAACCGAGTTGCGTCAGCGTCGTCGTCGGGCAGCGCACGGCGAACATTCCACGGACTCGACGGGCGAATGAATATTCCGTTGGCATCCATCGCGTTTCGTCTCCTCCTCTCCTCCACCGGCCGACCGGAATCTCCAGTCCCTACTTCCCCACCGCGCGCATCCGACTTTCCGTCGCCTTCGTGTCCGGGTGCCTCGTCGGATGAACGCTTTTCTGGGTCCATTTTGTTTTTTATATTTTGTATCTATTATCATTTAACTAATCATTTGTTTTAGTTTACATTAATTGACACCTGACGGTCTGCTTATTGGCCTTCACCCCGTCCATGTTCAGCACCAACGGTGTATCCCGGCCTTGACGCATGATTCCATCCCCTGGTTTCGTCCAGATGCTCGTCCCTCGTTCGCCGGCTGAATCGGTGGCGCATCTCCTCCTCCTCCTCGCTCCTTCGTCCCCTCCCGGTCTGTGTACCTGCACTGGCCGGTGGCCACCCTCTCTCCCTCCTTCCCTGCCTCCCTCGATTTCTGCACGAGCTTCGGAGTCCGTCGACAGCGTCTGTTGGGCGCCCCCCACCAGCGTCGACAAAATGGAGCCACTTTGTCGACGAATGCGACTAAAACAGGAAAATGCTCTCGCGGACCGACAGAGCCGAGCCCCTGCCCCTGCCCCTGATCCAGCTCGATGTTGGTAATTGGATGCAGTCTGGGCGGCACTCGTTGAGAGCCCCGAGGGAGGGAACAGAGTTCGGATTCGACGAATCGAGCGAAAATGGAGGGAAGGCCGTCGTTGACAACTCCGGGCTCCACGTCGAGGCAGACGGCAGACGACAGAAGAGCGATGGCCCCACCGCAGTCGCCGCTCGGGCTCGGGAACTAACAGCAGCACTTTTCCATGGCTGGAGGAGAATCGGTGCGAGCGGGCGAGCTCAGAGCCTCAATACCACGTTCCGAGTGCGGAGGATCGATGGACGAGGGGAGGGCATGAAAGCTTCTGTGATCACGAGGGCCCGCCCGACACGGACCCACCGGCCGGGCCCGCTCGGCTGGAGCCCAGTTGGGTGACAGAATAGTTTTCTCGATCAGCCAAAAGCACCGTGTAATGCGCGCGGTGGTAATAACTTTGCGCATCGAGACCGTATCCTATCCTATTCGACGAGCAGAATTCTTGTCCATTCTCATTCCTTGCACACCGTCGTCGTCGTCGTCACGAGCTCGCGCGACATGCTACTTCACATTCTTGCCTCTTGACTTTTGTGCCTACTGCGAGCTCATGATTACTCGAGCTCGAGAGCCCGAGAGAGAGAGAGAGAGAGAGTGTTTTCGCGCCTGGATGAGAACCTCGACACCTCGACGGACTCCATGGTACTCCCCCAATCCCATCCTCCTAGTCCTCCTCTGGCGCCCACGGTCCATCCTCCCGTCGCTGCTCAAACTTACACCAAACGCCATATCATGGCGTTTCACGTCATTCCGACTTTTCCTCCCGCTTTTCACTCGCGCTTCGCGCAGTCGATTCTGGTGCCCCTCCCCTCCCGTAGCAGCAGCCCTCGTCTCTGAGCCCGAGCCGTCGATCCACCGTACGCATGTGGCACTTACTTCCGCGCGTGCGTGTGTGTGAGGCTCATTGCTCCTCCTTGTGCTCAGGAAGAAAAGGCATGTCCAATGTCCAATGTCTCGCGCTCGGTGCAGATCCGGGTGTCACCAGGTTGTCACTCTGACCCAAAGAGCTCGTTCGTGATTCCCACAGGCTTTTCAGTTCGCAGCCAATGCGCTCTTCCAAGTTGCTTACCATCTCCTGGAGCTCTCGGTCGAAGATCGAAGCTTTGTGCAGATCACAGAGCCGAGCATCGACCCTCGCCACCGTCTTGTGATGAAGTGAATCTAGCCAAAAGGTCATGCAATACCATACATACCTTCCAGGAATTATGTCCAATTCTAACACCAAGGATTTTCAATATATCTTGAGTATCATAATCAAATAGTGTGCAAATCATATGAATGCCTAATAAATGATTTAATAATTCTTTTGATTCAAACGGTTTAATAATACATAAATAATCTCACGAGTACCATATAAAGTGATTGATTCTCTGATATAAAGTGTATGTAATTTAATCATTGTTTCATGTCCATAATGAAAATATTTGTTCTAATCTATGAGTAGATTATGTCTCATATGGAGTTTGATAAAAAAAACTCGTGAATGTCAAAGTCTATGTTTGTAATAATTATATTTGTGCAAGGCGTACTTAAGAAGGTGGCGTTACACAAAGGCCAACAAGGTTCTCTTACATGCCAATACTAACTTTCATCCATTTTGAAAAAAAAAAAAATGTCCTGATTTAAAATGCGCCATATTATTTCCGATTTGGTACCCATTGACATTGTCTTTCTAATTCTCCTGCGCTTCTTTTACAGCTGTGATTGTTATGTGGGTAGAGCGGTAAAGTTAACCGTTATAAGTGATGTTAATTTCTCATGCATCATAGCATCAATTTATAGTAGACATGTTCGTGGCCTCCCTGGAGCACGATACCGGCTTGAAACTAATCATTTCATCCTATCAGGTCTCTCACAAGGATAGAATTCGGAAATCCTCCATATCTAAGGAGCGGTTGCAACCACAATTGTTGAAATATCCTACTAAAAAATAGGGTGACAAAACTTTGGCGTTTTTGCTTTCAATAATTAGTTTTGCATACTTGGCTTGAATACAATCCTACAAAGATAATATGTATTGTTTTTCCTGCTATTTAGTTGCGTGGGTTACGCACGCTTCCAAGAAATTCGTCAATCAAAGTGTTGCAATCTAGAACAAAATAAATGAAAAATAGTGCAAACTAGCAAACATGTCGATAAACACACTTCAGTTCACTCTTTGCACGTGAGACCTTAGAAATCATTACCCTCATTGATATTTACATTGGATCGTCAATCTCAACAACAAAAAGTTGATCATATACTTCAATTGATCGCTTTTGTTCAGAAAGCAATTTTTAGCACATCAAGGTCTTGCTTTTCGTAGTCATAACAAATCTAGGGACTCATTGAATCGCAAAAATTTTCTTGAACTTCTTATTCTTGTCAGTAAGCATTTGTGTATATGTTTAAAACCACCTTGAATAGTTGTATATAACTATTCAAGGTGGTTCATCTCCAGAGTTATTGTTTCATCTTCAAGTGATCTTTGCTCTAAACCCTAATGTTACAGTATTCAGCCAATTCCCAACTAATTTGTCTCTATCATGCATCAAAAAATGCAACAATGACATCTCCATACATCAAGAAGTACATATTGAAAACATGGCTTTATGTGTCTAATAACATATTGTGAAATAGATTGATGACAAATATTTTTGTTTGCTGGTAGATGAGGCTCGAGACAAATCAACGAAAGAGCAAATTTCTTTGATTATACGATTTGTCGAGCATTCTCAAACAATTCAAGAGAGTTTTTTGGATATGATTCATATTGCCAATACAAGTTCAAAATCGGTGATAGCTATTATTGTTTTTATTTTGAACCACAAAGATCTTTTGCTATCACAAGAATAAAGACAAGATTATGATGGAGCATCTAATATGAAGAAACACATCAACTAGTAGAAAATAATAATAGAAATAAAAGTACCTTCAGCATAAGACATGCATTGCTTTGCTCACCGATCACTTGCTTTGATGCAAGCAACCAAGAACCACATCAAAGTTTTCCAATTTTTTGTTAAGTTGTCATCATTATATGTCACTGTGGGTACTTCTTGTAAACGGATTTATTTTTAAAACTGCAAACAACCAAAATACTTGAGGCAATTTTTGGCGGATATGACAAAACAATTCGTGGATAAAATCAAGAGCAATCACTCCGGCGTTCAAGAGAGACACAATGGAGAATTCATTTCATTTCTATTTGTTGTGTGTTTGATCTCTATGAATCAGTTGTCAAAATACTAAAATTATTGTGAAAAATGACCCTGTACTAGATTCAAAAGCGGAATACTCAAGAGCTTGTTGGAAACAATATGAAGTTTTAATTCTGTTTTAATGTTACACATGAAGATTATTTTAAGCAAATCAGATGTTATATCTAAAGCATTACAACATAAGTATTAGTAAATTGTTAAAGCTATGGACATTGTTGCTAATTAAAAATATGAATAGATTGAAATGAGATTAGAAGAATTATGGACATTGTGTAACATTAAGGTTTAGATAGAAGTTCATTTGAAGATGAAAACATAAATTTTGAAAATAAGTAATACCAACAATGATTCTACTCTTCTTTATATAGCTCTCACAAATAAATACAAGGAAATAAGATCTTATCTTCACCATCCATCGCACTCCTAGTGGATGGATGACGTGTCGGATAATCATAACAAGCACACGGATTGTTGACGTGACGCTCCCAACTAACTCACTAACTAACACACTCAATCCTTACCTAACAAGCACACTAATCGTCAATGTGACACTGTCAACTAACACACCTACTCTATACCTATCAAGCGCGCGGATCGTTGACATGGCAGCTATGACTAGTACACGCTAAAGTATCTATATCAACATTTAGAGTAACTTATACTTTAGTTATAACTAACTAAAGATGATTGCAAACCTCCCTCCTTTTAAGATGCAACGTACTCATTGCACATATATTCAAACTCCTGAACTATCAAAGGTGCATTTGCTATAATTTTAGCTGGTTTTCAAGTTATTTCATATGATAGATAACATTTTCATTGAATCAAATATTCTAGTTTGGTATATTCATAACTTCAAATATGTTTCTTGAGTATCTTTTCTACCTCCAACTCCTCATGATTTGATATCAAGGTTGGAAGAAGAAGTAGTATTGGTTGATTGATGAATTGTTTTGGTCGTGGCACATGTTTTCGGAATCGTGACACATGAAATACCATATGTATTTTCATATGTGACGGAAATTTCAACTTATATGACACTTCACCAACACGTTTCAAAATCAAAAATGAACCAATGAACATAGGGTTCAACTTTGGTATTTCTACAAGAGACATATTTATTGTAGAAAACTAAACATGATCTTCTACCTCAAAAACCACTTCTCTACAATGAGCATCGGCATGTTTTTTTGCCTATTTTGACTTATCATCAACTTTTCCTTGGTCTCATGTAGTCCTCGGTGAATATGCTTCACAAATTTGTTGACTGTTGCAACTTTGGTAAAAAACTCCTCTTCTTTCGGAAGTCTCATCAAACTTGAAGGAGTTATAGGATGAGTTTCATATATGAGGTTAAATGAAGACACTTTTGTGGATGCATTTATAGAAATGTTTGGCAAAAGGTTGTCCCACTCTTCTTGCTCTTCTGATGTGAATGCTCGTAGCATATCCTCTATGGTTCTATTTGCCCTCTTCGTTTGTCCATCAGTTTGAGGATGATATGATGTTAACATTGCTAGTTTTGTTTTGAAAAAACTAAAAAAAGTTTTCCAAAATAAACTAGTGAAATGAGTAACTCCATCTGTGCTTAATACCTTACTTAAGCCATGATTCACAAAAACTGCATCTAAACACAATTGAACTAGTTGTGGAGCTCTTACCGTTTTTGTTGTTGGCCTCATGTGAATCATTTTGCTCAATTTGTCCACAAAAACCATCATTGAATCATGTTCCAAAGAAGTCTTTGGTAACTCACATACAAGATCCACGGTGACATGTTCCCACCGTTGTTCAAGAATAGGAAAAAGTGGTAATAAACCTACTTGTTTTTTATCACTTGTCTTGTTTTGTTGACAAGCAACACAACTTTGAACATAAGATACCACATCCTCACGTATTTTGACCCAATAATACACTTGTTGTATGCTCTTCACGGTTTTCTCCACTCCCATATGACCTGCAATGGTTGTGTCATGATTTTTGGTCAAAATCATTGTGCGCAAATCTTGAACTTGTAGAATCCATATAAATTATTTGTAGAACATCAAACTTCAAGACTTCTTCGCCTTTTGAGTTTGTAGTGCTCAAGTGATCACTACAAACTGAAAAGGCGGAGAAGTCTTGAGGCTCTCTTCATCCTCCTTTGTGGCTTGTGTCATCTTACTCCGCCAATCAACTTGAATTTTCACTTCAACAACATGATTCAAACAAGGCATGCGTGTGAGAGCATCCACAAGTAGCTTCTTACCCTCCATGTACACAATCCTCATGTTGAAGCGTTGACGTCACTTTGACCGTCGAATTTGTCATTTAAACATATCCTTATGAGATTTCAAATAAACCAAGAATTTATGATCGTTTTTCACCATAAACTTCTTATCACTCAAGTAATGCCTCCAATGTTTGGTTGTCAACACAATGGCTAACTCCTCCCGTTTTGTCGTGTGATAATTTTTTTCCGTCGCCACCAACTTTTGAGAATAGAAAGCAATAGTATGTCATCCATCCTTCCATTCTTGTTGAAATATGCAACCTACCATTGTACCTGATGCGTAAATAGTCAACTTGATAGTACGGTTAGTATCATACCATTTGAGGATATGTGTGTAACAAAGCATCTTTCAATGCTTGAAAGCTAACTATTGAGTTGTTTTTCATCTCCATTTTTTACCGTTCACTAACATGGAAGTCAAGGTCTGAGATAGGCGAGTAGAACCTTTCTCAAATTTACAATAGAATCTAGTGGGCCTAAAATATTCTTCAATTGAGTTTGATACTAAGGTGCTGTTCATTTTTGAATGACATTTATCTTTTCACTCATCACTTGGATTCTTGCGGCTGTAAAACTTTGACTCTAGTAATTTACTTCTGATTTTCCAAATTCACATTTTGAAGCTTTGGCATATGATTGATTGTTACTCAAAACTTGAAGTAACTCTTGTAAATAACTTCTATGATCACTCAAAGTTTTGCTATACACTAATATATCATCTAAAAAAACAATGACAGATTAATCTAGATAAAGGTATCAATTTCATGAATGTAA